ATTTTAGAGACTATAGTATAGTCACAGAGAAAACACACTGCCTGGCAGAAAATTTCAGTCTCTTTCTCTCTCCCTCCCTCCCTCACTCACTCCCTCCTTCCCTCGCTCCCTCCCTCCCTCCCTCCTTCTCTCTTTCCCTCCCTCCCTCCCCCCGTGTGTGTGTGTGTGTGTGTGTGTGTGTGTGTGTGTGTGTGTGTGTGTGTGTGTGTGTCTATCATTTTAGTTGGTTTTGTAAAACATGTAACCCAAGTTGGTTTCACTAGATCCTCCTGGCTCCACTTTGCAAATACTGGGATTACCAGTGTGTACCACCACACCCATCAAGGAATCTGTGTACATGTCTATGTGAGATTGGTATTGGTAAATACTAACTTTCTGAGACATGGGCTTGATTCTTAGAAGAATCAATACATTTTTGGAGGGTTTGAATGAGGTCAGGTGTCTTATAAGCTATTGGATAAAGTAAATGGGATTGACTTTTCAATACTGCTTAAAGAACAAAAGACAGATAAAAAGAGAGCTTGTTTCTGGGGGTTTTATTTCAAACCTCAGGAGGCAAACTGAATGGACCTGGAGGCTTGATCTTGATTCTGAATGGTATTAGAGAAACAAATCCTGGGAGCTGTCCCCTGACCTCTGTGTGAGTGCCACAGCATATATATGCCCATACTTATACAATAATGCAATTAAATTTATTTTTTAGAATGAGACAAGAAAACTAGGCAGCCACTTTGGAAAACAACTTAGTAGCTGTTCAAAATGTAAAATGTAGAGTTACCATGTGACCAGAAGTACTACTCCTGCATGTGTGTGTGTGTGTGAGTGTGTGTGAGTGTGTGTGAGTGTGTGTGTGTGTGTGTGTCACACACACACTCCCCACTTCACTTCCCAGGCAATTTTTACTCCCTGTTCTGTGTTCCCCATTTCCCTCTTCATAGCACCTGCAGCCTGCTAGTCCCTTCCCTATATCTCCTTCTTCCCCTTCCTCTCCACTCACTGTGGTCCCTTATTTCCCTGGTTTCTGCAGTTACTCCAAGCATACTCTACATCTAAAGATTTGGAGCTAAGACGCACATGTGAGGGGAAAAAACATGCGGCATTTGTCCCTCTGGATTTAGCATGCCTCATTCGGTATAATATTTTGTTTGGTTTTGGTTTTGGTTTTCAAGACAGTTTCTCTGCTTAGCTCTGACTATGCTGGAACTATCTATAGACTAGGCTAGCCTCAAACTCAGAGATTGGCTTGCCTCCTTAGTGCAGGCTTTAAAAACGTGTGCCACCACGCCCAACTTTCATTCAGTATGTTTCCTGATTCCATTCATTTACCTGTAAATTTTGTGATTTCATTTTTCTTTACAGCTGGATATGTACTGCATTTTGACTATCTATCACCAGGTGAAGGACAGTAGGTTGTTTACATTTCCTGGCTATTGTGAAGAGAATAGCAATGAACTGGCTGAACAAGTGTCTGTGGAGTGGGATGTCAAGTCCTTTGGCCACATGCCAGCAAGTGGTATAGTTGGGCTATGTGGCAGATCTATTTTTACCTCTTTTGAGATTTGTCCACACTGATTTACAGAGTTTGCACTCCCACCAACAATGAATTTTCCCTGTCACCATTCCTTGCTAGCATTTGTTGTTGCTTGTTTTGCCGATCTTAGCTATCCTAACTGGTGTAAGATGAGATCTCAGAGTAGTCTGAATCTCAATCTCTTAATTGGTGAAGATGTTAAACACTTTTTGAGATATTTCTTAGCCATTGTTATTTCTTCACTTGAGAATAATCTGTTCTGATCGCTAGCCCATTATTTAATTGGGTCACTTTGCTCCATTTTTGGAGTTCCTTATATATTCTGGATATTAATTGTATATTAGATGTATAGTGGGCAAAGATACTCTCCCATTCTTTGGACTTCCTCTTCACCCAGTTGATTATTTCTTTTGCTGTACAGAACCTTTTTGGTTTTAGAAAGTCTTATCTGTCAACGATTGCTTTAATCCCTGGGCAGATGGAAGCCTGTACAGAATGTCCTTTCCCAAAATTTCAGTGAATTGGCAGACTACAAAATCAACTCATCACTCATTTAATGTATAAATCAACATTTGAGGTATATCCACCAATAGGTGAAAATCTTAGTCGGGGTTTAGCTCAGTTCAAGCTTAAGTCACTGCCTCTTTAGGTGCCCTTTCCTCGTCTCTCCCTAACTACAGCCCTAGCCTGAAGCAACTGCCCCTCTGCCTTCTACTCTACACATGTTCTTGTTCTGAGTGTCACATGACTAAAGTCACTGTGACTGATAGCTGTCGCTTAACTGATGAAGTCCTACACAGTGTCTTCTAAAGACTCAAAGGTCAAAACCTTAGGAAAGTTCAAATTATAAGCCCTGGCATAGTCAGTAAGCAGAGGGACCTGAGTTCAATCCTAGAACTCACATGGCAAAGAAAAACTTGAGTGTAGTGGTGTGTACTTGTGACCCCAGCAATGTCGACATGGAGACAGGCAGATCTCTGGGGTTCATTGGCTAGCCTGTCTTCCCTTCTTGGAGAGCGCTAGGTTTCAGAGAGAGACTGTGTTTCTTGGGGAACTATACAGTTGTCTGCTGGCCTCCATGCATGTGAACACATGTCCCTCCCCCACCCCACCCCCACAAAAGGACATTCACACATGGCATTAAGCAGGGAGTATTTCCTATGAAACAGATAACATATTTTCTTAATTGTATGAAGTAATTTTCATTCTTACGCGTCTCACTTACTTCATGTAAAAAGCAAACTCTCTTAAAAAATGTCCACTGGTTACTACTATCCAGTTCCCAGTTCAGCTTCCTTTTGGTAATGGTTAATCAAACTATACACTGGTTTTAATCTTTAGCTGTTGAAAAATCTTGCCAAATGCCAAGAGCACAGTTTAGGGTGCTGGTCAGATATGTGTCTGAGCCCTCCTACCTGTGTGCACTGTTATGTATGTAACTTTGGCCAGCTGCTCAGCTTCTTGGTATTAATTTACTTATCTATAAAACAGAGGTCATTTTCTCAGTTTGAAAATAGTGTAGTATGTGAGATTATGTACAAAACTAAAATACACAACAGTATGGTTCCTGGCCTATTTTAGGTGCTTAATTAGTATCTGCTCTATATTCATACATTGCTATGAAACTTGAGTGACAGCTTAGCTCATATGGCATTGGTATACTGGGAATATGCTTGAAAGAGAGTTTAGGATAAAATGTCCAATATTGCATTCTCTCAAGTCCTGGGCTTTGGGTTAACTGTGTTATCTATAGTTGCAATGCACAGGACATGTTTGACAGTTTGAAATAACTTTACCATTTTAATAATCAAAATGTTCATGTAGGCCCAGTGTACATCTTGGGCTTAACTTTTTAAGCAAGTAGTTATAATTGTCAAGTATTTGGACCCTTCAAATATGAAACCACTCAGAATTTATCCCTTTGATTTGTATTGGTTTGGTATTGATAAAAGGAATTATTTCTCATGTCTTAACCACTGAAGCATACTTCTTAGTTATACAATTCTTCTTTGTCATTATAAAATGAATGCACATTTGTGAACTGATAAGCAAGGTAACTGATTAAATCAAGTTTTATTCAAAATGTGTTTTGTCTTTGATTGGTGATATTAAAATTGAATAGTGCATTTCAGAATTTGAACATACTATGAAGCACTTCAGGAACAGTTTAAGCCTAGCTTCCAAGCTTCCATGGGTACACACACACACACACATACATACACACACACACACACACACACACACACACACACACACACACACACAGTCCTTGGTAGGATAGAAGAGGCTCCTTTCCAGTAAGCTTCCAGTTCCTTCCAGGGCTGCTGCCCCATAGACCACAGTTTCCAAAGACTGGAATCCAGGAGACCTAGAGATTCATTGAGCTACCCTGCCATAAGCTGCAGTCCCAGCTCCTGGCCCACACTCTGCCCTGATCTGCTTCCTTTACTGATCATTGAAATGAATCAATTGCAAGTTCAGAGACATCAAATGGCAGTGACTCTGTTCTTCTATTTCACTTGTTATGGCCACTGGATAAAGAAATAGAATATTTTATTCTGTGTTTTCTAATGCCTTTTGTTTTATCTGTTAGCCTGTTGCCTGTCAGACATCGCCCCCCTCTGCTATTATTGACTTTCAAAAACAACATTTAAAAAGGAATATAATTTCTCCTCCTTCAAACTCTGTTATAAAATTGGCTTTTAGTCTATCCATGATGAAGAACAATGAATGACAACCATTTAAATCCTAATAAGGATTTTGTTACCCAATGGAAGGAACTACATGCTGCCATTTCCCTTAAACCAGACCTGATACTGTAGAGTAACCAGAGTACATCACCTAAAGCTTCCCAGGGAAGCTAGTCTCAGACATGTAGGCATTTCAGAGAGAGTATAGCTTGGGTTCTAGTTATACAGCTCATAGTCTGTAGTTTATTTAGTATGTCATTTGACTATAGAGGCACTTTATTTACTTATTTTTTGTGTGAATGTGTGTATGTGTTCTTGTATATGCACATATGCATGTGGGTGCATGTATATGTGCATTCAGGTATGCATGCACGTGTGTATGTGTGTACATGTGTGCGCATGTGTACCTCTGGGAGCTAAAGGTCAATGTTTTAGGTATCTACCATAGATGTTCTGTATCTTTTTTTTTTTTTTGAGATAGTGTCTTTCATTAAACTCAAAGCTCACCAATACAGCTATACTGGTTTACCAGTGAATTACAAGAATCTGCTTGAGTCTGCCTTCCCAGCCACAATATTTTGGTTCTCAGAACCAACCTGCCTTTCTGTGGGTGTCAGGAATCCAGACTCCAAAATCAGGTCCTTGCATTTGGACAGCAAACACTGTACTGATTGAACGGTCTCCCTACCGCCTAAAGACATCATTTGAAAACACACACAGTTTGTTAGTGTAAGTGTAGACTGCCATGTAAGTAATGGATGTTATCTGATTTATTACAGAACCGAAAAATAGTCACAGTAAAGACAAGCAGAAAACCAGAATGCAAAAACGGAGAAAGCGGAACAGCCTGGCCGACGACGTGGCACTTTTAAAGAGCGGCTTGGCAACAAAGGTGTTCTCTGGTTACAGCACCAAGACAAATGGCACAAGGGACAGGAAGAACCACAAAAGGACCAAACGCTTTCTGTCCTATCCACGGTTTGTAGAAGTGATGGTGGTAGCTGACCACAGAATGGTTTTATACCATGGATCAAACCTTCAACATTATATCTTAACCCTGATGTCAATTGTAAGTATACCACACAGAAGGCGATTCATGAGCTGACTCAATGTGCTGCTGGAGGATGGGTTTTCCTTTCCATTCTGCTTGTAGTATCAGTCAGGGCTGGTGTGTCAGCCATTCAGGCAAATGTCCAAAGAGAGTGTGTGGATGTTCTCTGTAGATATCACTAGTGAATGTTGATTCTCTGGTAGATATTGCACTTACTTACTACTTGAAAAACATTGTTTCCAATCCTTCTGGCAATGGGCTTAGGATGAACTACCATCCTCATTATGTAGATAAGAAGAATGACTCTCCAAGGGGTTATGTCACTTGCCCATGGTCAGGCACAGCTAGCAAGTGGCTTGGATGCTATGTGTGACCTTCAGCTTGTTTGTTCTGGAACCTCATGTTCTCTGTCTAACTTAGGAGCTTTGCAGAGCCTGGTAGCACTGTGTGGTGCTGGTTTGCAGTCCCTCTCACCTATGATGCTTTTTCAGAATGTGTCTACCCAGTCTTGCTTCTTACTTAGGGTTATAATCAAGTAGGAAAGGGATGAAGCCTACCAATCTCTGTATTTCTGTACTCCTGTGTTATTTTGGAAGCACAATAAAGCTGCAGGATTAGAAAGTCTCTATACCTGTTCCTGCACCTTCCCAGAAGCAAACATTGTTAAAGCCCCTGCTGCTTCTAGCAATAAAGATACGATCTAATTCACATATGGAACTTTGCATATTCTAGTAGGTACATTTTAAAGAAGCTAATAAAACAGATAAAATTACTTTTAATCTACTTTTGTACCCATAGAATATCATTTCAACACATAGGATGAAAGAGTTTACACAAAGTGTTTTCCATACTAAGCCTTCAAAATCCAGTATCTGCCTGTTCAACTAACCATGTATCAAAAAATATTTGGCAAGACTGGAGAGATAGTTCCGCTGACAAAGTGCTTCCCTTACAACCATAGGACCTGAGTTCAATCATAGTGACATGTAAAAATCAGATGTGGCCGGGCGGTGGTGGCGCACACCTTTAATCGGGAGGCACTCGGGAGGCAGAGACAGGAGGATCGCTGTGAGTTCGAGGCTGGGATGGACCGACAGCCTCCAAAACAATACAGAGAAACCCTGTCTCGTAAAAACCAAAAAAAAAAAAATCAGATGTGGGTCTATGCGCTTGTAATCCCAGCCTTGGGAAGGTAGAGAAAGGTGGACTGCCCCATTGACAGGCTCTCAGCTAGTGAGAATTCCTATCTCAAAAAATCAAGGTGGACAGCTCCCGAGAATAAAAACCCACTCCGTGTGCACACTCGTATTTGTGCCTTCAAATGCACACACACATACATACACTCATGCATACATGCACATATGCACATGCATACACACACACTTCAGAAAAAAATCTTGTAAGTCTGCTAAACACATACAGACTTTCTTCTTATCATTCCCTAGTCAATATGACATAACAACTATTTACAATTTTCTGCCAGAATCTAGTCTATGGTAAGTGACAGTGAATGTAGCTGACATAATAAATTAGGATAACAAACCAATGCAGAAACAAGTGACACTGCTGTTGAGCATATAAATGGACAGTGAGCATGAGGAACGAGTGCCAGCATTTATGTGGGAACCCAGGACTCCAAATGACAGGAAAGTGCTTGATGGAAAATTAGTATGCAATGCTTTGGAACAAATAACTGTCAAGTCATACAATGATTCAGCTTCAAGAGAAAATGCCTCCGAGTTTAAATTTGCTAGAGCTCATTTTTAGCTAAAACTGCCATCTATGAGTTTTACAAAGAGACTATAAGTCAGTGTTTGTGCAATGAACATTCAGAACTGTAAAACATTTGTGTTGCATGAAACGTAAGAAGTGCTGGAACCCAACCTAAGAAGTGAATTGCTTATTGCTTACACAGAGTCCACCATTAACTTTGAAAAATTTATCTCGGTTGCAGGTAGCTTCTATCTATAAAGACTCAAGTATTGGAAATTTAATTAATATTGTTATTGTGAACTTAGTTGTGATTCATAATGAACAGGTAATAAAGTTTATTTTTCTCTCTTTTTCTATCTGTATCCGAAATGGCATATCTAATTGGTGTTGTTGCATAGACCAAGAGCAATTCTTCTCTGTGTTTAGGAAGGACCTTCCATAAATTTCAATGCCCAGGCAACATTAAAAAACTTCTGCCAGTGGCAGCATTCCAAGAACCACTTAGGTGGGATACAGCATGACACTGCTGTTCTTGTCACAAGGTAAGTGGATTGTTGATTCCTTGTATCTCTTGGTGTCAGATCAAGTTGATGGGAAGGATCCTGCATTGCTGGTAGCCAGTCCTACTAGGGAGCTTCTCAGCTTAGTCCCTATGGACAGTTAATAGCAGACAATTCTTTGTTGAACCGGCTGCTCTGAGCACTGCAGTACTTTGCATCCCTAACCCCTGTTCTCCACACATCAGTAGAGTGCTCTCCTCTCAATTATGACAACTGGCAGTGTCACTAGACACTGCTGTATGTACCCTGACGGTGAGGGAAAGCTACCATTCTGGCTGAGAATCACTATCATATACATGCCCCATGAGGACTCAGTATATAAAACAGGTCTAAAAGCAAATGCCCTTCTACAGCAAGGGAAGCTGCTTACCACATCCAACTGCTGGCTGCCGTGTAGGACCTAAGTCTAGTGTGGCCAACTTATGCGATTTTTTTTGCAAGAAACCAGAAAGGAGAATTTTTTAAATGAGAAATGTCCCAATTTTTATATGAGCTACTCTCAAAGAATGTTTTAAGAATGTACAAGCAAGAAGGAGATGCTGGCTTAATAGTTTCTCTTATGAACCATCTCTGACATAGTCATAAACATTCTCATTACCCCACAAGCCCTTGCTGGAAATTGAATCCAAGGCTTTGCCAGGGTCTTGAACGAGAACTTTATACACCTAAGTCACAACCCCTAGCCCATCACCCCTCTTAAATGTACTCAAAAAGCTGTGACATTTGGGGGGGGTTGAGAAACTCCGGTCTTGCTAGTATACGTTTTTGTTGTTCCCTTCCTAAAATGAACTGGAACTCTGAGGATTTTCTTGTGTTGACCTTTACTCTGGTGTTGTCACAACCTAAGTCTGCTTTGCTTTTAGGGAGGATATCTGCAGAGCTCAGGACAAATGTGACACCTTAGGTGAGTCCTTGTACATACATGTATGTCCCCATGGCTAAGATGGTTCCTTTGTTGTTTCTCTTCTGAGTTTCAATTGCTTTTCAAAGTAAATCCATGTTGCTTTCTCCCCTCTCTTCTAATAGGTCTTGCTGAATTGGGAACCATTTGTGACCCCTATAGAAGTTGTTCCATTAGTGAAGACAGTGGGTTGAGCACAGCTTTCACCATAGCCCATGAGCTGGGGCATGTGTAAGTCATTCCATTCATAGTCTCCTAAAACTTGGTTCCTTTTTGCCAGTGAGTATACTCTTAACTTTCATGGAGCCAAGACTTCAGAGTAGATGTGACAGGATCGAAGGAGCTGAGCTTTGTGAGAAATTGCTATCAAGGCAATTCACCCTCTTCAACCCTAGTTCTCTGTCTTTGGTTGAACTGCTTACGTTTGAAGAGAAAATCTAATAATTTTTCTCCACCCACTGGGGACTCAAAGAAAGAAGCATTTTGATGCATTATAGCACATCAAGGATGGATTAGCTTGGAGAACTATCTTGACTCAACAATATGCCTGGAAGGTTGCTCTGGTCCATAGATTTTAACTAATCCAGATCATTTCCAACTGATTTACGTGACTATACTAACTTAGACAGTTAGCATCTAAAACAGCGATGTCCCTCCTTCAGGGAAGAAGTTGAACAAAGATGCAGAGAGATCCATTTTCCAGATTATGATCAGAATGTGGCCATTATGAGATAACTTTCCCTGTTTGTTTTTCTGGGAGAGTGTTTTTGCAATTCACCAAAGTGCCTTTCACCCTTTGCCTTTTCACACACCTTTGCTGTTTTCTCCAAGGAAACATTATCAGAGATCTGATGTTTAGAATGGAATCCAGGCTTTCAGTGCAGGCAGGACAGACTGCCTTAGTCAACATCTCCTTGTTCCTTCTGTTTCCTGAGACATATGAAACACAGAGAATCCTCAAGATGATTTATATTTCCAGGTTTCCCCATCCAAGTAACACTATGGCCTGAATTATCAGGTGACGAAAGCTCTCTGTGTCTTAGTTGCTCGTCTACAGAGTGTGGGGAATAGTACACTCATTGTTGGGTATCTGTGGGAGGCTGGTTCCTGGACCTGGCATAAATACCAACTCCACAGATACTCAAACCCTTTTTATGAAGAGGCATTGAATTTTCATGTCACCTGTGCTTACTTGCTGTATACATTAAATGATATCTAGATGACTCATAATACCTAATACAATACAAATAGCTATTATACTGACTGAGGGAGGGAGAAGTCTGTATATGTTCTGTACCGACACATGTTTGTTTTCCCCACTAAATATTTCCCATCCACAATTGGTGGAACCTGTGGATGCATGACCCTTTGATGCAGTGAGTTAGCGGTACTGTTTACTGCATTGAATGAGTTACAAAACAGAGCATTCGAAACATAGAATATGCATCCTAGTGTACTATGGATGTGAGCAGTCTTAGTTATTATTGGTCAGTAAGTATTTAAAAGAAATAGCTATTTACAGCTCCACCAGTGAGCAAGGGTGCTTATTTAAATGGAAATGAGTTTCTGTTCATTTGGGATGAAATAAGTAAACTTAATTGACCTAGTTATGTCGAATTGGGAATAAAGGGCAGATCCTGTCTGCCACAGAGAAAGAAGTGCATAGGGTTCAAATGCTCCCCTTGCCTGAAGTGAGCTCGAGAGGGAGTCGGGGTGATGTGGACTCTATGGTTGGCACCTGCAAGCCAGAGCGTATCTTCTTTGAAGAAATGGGCCTACGGTATTAAAACTTTTAGTAAATTCATCTAATACAGATCACATTTTTCCATCTCTACTGGCAAACTGAAGGACCCGTATCTTTTAAGAAAAAAAGAAAGAGAACACAAAAGGATTAGGGGAGTAGATGCCTATGCTCTAGTCCAGATTTTTCCTTTACAAGAAACAGCTCTACAGCTTTCTTTCTCATTCACATTTCCTGAGTTCAGCATGAATTGTGGAAGGGAATTCCTCTCTTGGTGCTCAGTTAACCACATGTTCAGTTTTCTGATTGACAGCCGTCTTTCCCAGAGAGAAAAGGTGATCCTTTGACCTTGTCACCTGATGGATAATTGCCTGGACTGGAAGGCCATGTGGGTCATGAGGGGTGTGCACTGAGGAAATGCTATCATTTTCCCCCATTTCCTCTGGTGAAGCCAAGAATGGAAAGTATGTGTGAACACTGTTGCTACCCGCCCAAGCCCACGAGGACCCTGGCATTGCTCCACAGCCTCCTCTCAGGCAGAATGAGAAGGAGTTTAAGAATCTTTATATGCCTGGCTTTCCAGGAAGCCAGTTCCTGTCAGCTGGCATTGGCACGTAAATCCCTTTGCCATCTCTGCCTTCAGCTGGCTAGATTTGTATGCCTTTGGTCTCTGGGTCCCTTCCTATAAGTTCATGCACACACTTTACATATCTTTATGATGGCACGTTACTTGATAAACACGCTTGTCATCCTGGCCCAGAAATGGGAGATGCAAGGCCTCTTATTACAAGGCTCTTGGCTTCCATTTTTGACACTGATTTATTCTTTATATGACCATAGTAGAGCATGCTGCCAAAATCTTGACTCTATGGACTGTGCTTTAACTGTCTATTAGGATTTCCAACTACTGTATTTTAGCACCAACCACAGCACATTCAGAGCCTCTGCAGTTCCAAAAATGCATACTTAACATCCAACAGATGGCCGTGCATCCACTAAAGGTTCTTTATATTAAATTGTATCAAAACCCCTTGTGTTCTGTAGCTCCATCTTGAATTGTCTTACAGTTTATTCTGCTACCTGGATTCAGATTCTTTTGCATAGCACAATAGGCAGTTACAGTTTCCTCTTAACGAATTGTTAAGCAACAATGGCAGCATGAACCATTGGTGTCTACTTACTTTCTCACCTTTGTTTTGTTGACTCTAGGTTTAATATGCCTCATGATGACAGCAATAAGTGCAAAGAAGAAGGTGTTAAGAGCCCCCAGAACGTCATGGCACCAACATTGAACTTCAATACCAACCCTTGGATGTGGTCAAAGTGCAGTCGAAAATACATCACTGAGTTCTTGGAGTAAGGCTTCAACTTTCTTTTAGTAACATCCCCTAGTGTAGCAGTTCTCAACTTGTGAGTCACAACCCCTTTGGGGGTGAGGGGGATGAACAACTCTTTCACAGGGACCACATATCAGATACCCCTCATCAGATATTCACATTACGATTCACAACAGTAGCAAAACTACAGTTATGAAGTAGCAACGAAAAAAATATCATGGTTGGGAGTCACCACAACATGAGGAACTGAACTAAAGGGTTGCAGCATTAGGCAGATTGAGAACCACTGATCTAGTGTCTGGTCTATTTGAAGTAAATGTCTAAGGGAAAGAAAACACAGAGTTTAACATTCTTTTGGGATTGCTGCTTTTGATAACATTCCTTGGAGGAGGAAAACAAAAATTACCCTATGACATCTGTTAGTTCATAGCCTTCCCAGTGTTTGGAAGATGACAAACTGATCTGAGCGAAGACTTGGATTCTTAAAGGGAATATGCAAATGTTTCTGAATTTGTGTAATGCTTTGAAATTTATCAGGTCTTTGGAGAGGGCTATGACGATGAAGGGTCCAAATATTTGAAGGGTACATTCTCTCTCTCTCTCTCTCTCTCTCTCTCTCTCTCTCTCTCTCTCTCTCTCTCTGCTCTGCTCTTCTCTTCATGTCCTTTACCTTTGAAAAAAAAAGCTGATTCCTCAAAGATCCAATTACGTTATACAAGGACCACATCCACATGTCACAGACTTGGTGCTCTGCTTTCCCAGAGGTGCAAAAGATTAAGCCAGTGCCTCAGGTCACTGATTTATATTTCTGCAACCTAAGATGGGGGGTACTTTGTTCATTAGAAGAACTTACCTGGTTCAAATTTTCCAGAAGAGATGTTTGCAGAAACCTGGATGAACTAGAAGGCTGGTGTTTTTCTTTTAGGCAGGTGGCTTGAGATGCTTTCTTGCTGAGTCACCGAGCCCTTACTCACCTGTTCAACAAACACTGAATACTTCTTGCTACAGACTGGGCCCTTTTCAGAGATAAATACACACTATCTGTGGCCCTAAGATATTTACAATCTATTGGGAAAGACTGTAAAAAAAAAAACAAAAACAAAAACAGATAATGGCCCCTGCTGGACATCAGTGCTCCCTCTGATACTGTATTTCCTCCAGGCTATGGCGTATGTGGAGAATGTCTTTCTACAAAGTGTGTGTCAAAAATACAGCTTTCGCTCTAGACTTACCGTTGATTTATCCTTGGGTGAAGAGAATAGAGCAAAGGCCAAAAGGAACAGTTCTTGCTGCCATTAGGTGTGTGCGTGGCCCTTGCCTCTTTCTGCAGCCTTGGGGCGCCTGTCTGACCATCTCTGTATGTTTCTCTTTCCCACAGCACTGGGTATGGCGAGTGTTTGTTGAATGAACCTGAATCCAGAACCTACCCTTTGCCTTCCCAACTCCCAGGCCTCCTCTACAACGTGAATAAACAATGTGAATTTATCTTTGGGCCAGGTTCTCAGGTGTGCCCATATATGGTAAGTGTTCAGGATAGTTTCTGCCCTCAGCTTTCGATTCCAGGCTTGTTTGTGGTCACGTTTTCCCACTGGATTCTCATTCTAAATCAGTTACCCAGGTTACACCAACACACACATTGCACACACAGACATGAAGGAGTAGGCCTTGAAATACTTTCATCTATCCCTTCATGGGTGTGATTCTTATAAGCAGAACTCAGTAGAGAAAGGAAGTTGCAAGGCGTGTTGTGTACTCCAGTCAATAGGAAGCTTAAAAGTTGTGTTTCTCTGGTGGATTTTTAAGCATCTGTACCAAAGCATAGACAACCCTGAAGACATGGGCATTGCTGAAGACAGGGTCACCTCTGGGGTAAAAGGAGCAGGAAAGGGACACAGAATACATATTCAAGACCTTGGCTTGCTTGTGAATTAATGATGGGAACATAACTGCCCATTATATATTTTTGGAAGTGAGAAATATATTTTAATATTTTTTTTCTGTATTTCTTCCCACAACCTCGAGATCTTAAAAATGGCTAATTACATGATCATGCTATTTATTATACACACATATGTGCATGCAAACATGCATTCACATACATGGGCACACAGGCCTGCACACAAACACACTAATTTTGACCCTAAGACAAAGCAAAATTCAAGTCACACCCATTTTCAGAATTCTAGTGTAGTTCTGAGAAGGACCCTTCATCCCTCTGAACCTTAGTTCCCTCACCATTAACATGGAGGTGGTACAGGCCAAGGACCCTGTGATATCAGAGTCTCCTTTGGGAAGTCTCGCTTTTAAGGAACCATATCTCTTAATGGAATGGAAATGTGTCTTAGGTGGCTGCACTTTGAAATACTTTATAATGATAAATATGTCATATCAGGGAAAAAAGAAAACCAACCTTTGCAAGGCAGCTTTTACCCCTGGCAAAGCGTGTGACTTGAAAGGGATTCTTGCGCGGTTTGCTCACCCTGTGTCTTGTCTTGCCCTGTCTGGAACAGATGCAGTGCAGGCGGCTCTGGTGCAATAACGTGGATGGAGCACACAAAGGCTGCAGGACTCAGCACACGCCCTGGGCTGACGGAACGGAGTGTGAGCCTGGAAAGGCAAGTAGCGCCGCCCATGTGGTGCCTTTCAGCGCTCCTGACTTGGGTGGATTCCCTGTGCTGTGTGGCATGTAATACATGACAGTGTGGTTCAGCACGCATATTCTTTTGGATGAAAGCATGGCTTTCAATTGAGAGCTCTGAAACTTAATTTTAATAGATAAACCATTTAGCGTGTGGTGATATTTCTTTTCCCTTTTCTGACAGTGGCACAGGCAAGCTCTTGTGACCAAGCACATGAGAATCAAAGAAATGCAAACCCCTGCGAGCCAATGCCCTTGTTATTGTTTCACCAGGCCTTTCACCAAGGACGGTGTTTTCTTTTATATAGAACCATGATGCTACCTGGGACGTATCTAAACCCAGATTCTCATGACCCTGCTTTGGTTTTAATGATTCTCATCAATCCGTTAATAACTAAACAAAACCCACTGTTTGTGTGGGCCAGTGAGAACAGAGCTCCACGCCGTTAGGAGTATGATTAATCTAGCCTTCTGTGCCTGCTATGCACCTCCACACAATGGCAGTGGGCTAGTCCTATCATCTCCATTATCTTCTCCCACACTTCCATTTACTGAAGGAAATTTTAGCTCTGGGTCCATGCGGCTTGTGTCGCTCATGAGGGATGAAATCTGTGGGCACCATTTCCAAAACTCTTGTCATCCTTATCATTTCCTGCCTTTTCTCTCTTCCCACTTTCGTTTTGTTCTGGGCTTTACTTCCTTTGAACATCTGATTTCTTGTACCTGCACTTTCCTTGTAGATTTAATAATATCCAGGATGTCCCCTGACCTGATTTTATACATAGGAAACTGGAGAATCAAACAAACAACAAAGAAACAAGTTTTTTTTTTTTATTCTGAGATCAGTCGGGTCATTTGGGGAAGAATTGCCCCAAGCCCTTCCAGGGTGGACCCTCCCTACCATGGTTCTGCCTTTTGCTTCTGAGAGACATTGGGTTGCTTGATGGACCCTGAGTGACTTCATTTTCCAGTGGTCAAACATGAGGGCTCCATTTTCATCATGTGTATCTCAATGATTAAAGTAAATAGACAATGTGGGAATTATTTGGTTAAGTTATAATTTTGAAGATGATTTTGTATTAAGTTGATAGCAAAGTTAGCTCATGCCTCCACTTCCCCTGGGCCATTCTAAAAAAATAATTCAAAGTGAGGCTATCCCTAGTGATTGCCTAGAAAGAGACAATAGACTTAGAGGTTCTGGAACTTTCATTAACTTAAAAGAAAAGTATGTCTCTTTGTTCAAAAATTGAAGTTTGAATTTTTTTGTGGAGCACTAAACTTCAGTGTGCCGGGGAGGAGAGATGGTTTAGTGGTTGAGAGAGAGCACTGACTGCTCTTCCAGAGGACCCAGGTTCAATTTCCAACACACACACGGTGACTCACAACTGTCTGTTACCGTATGCATGTGGTGTACAGACATGTACAAACAAAACACCAGTATACACATTAAAAAAGAAAGCCTTAGCGTATGAGTAGGTGTAGGGCCACAGGTTTTTGGAGGAATGTAATTCTCGGATTTCCACAGCAGTCATTACAAATTGAACATGACACTCATTCTTACATAATCAAGATATAATTTTTGAGTCCTTCTAAACACAGTAACCCAGAGATGGCTGCCAGTTTCTCACCTGGCAGCTAACAATAAGCATGACTCCTACTTGACAACTTGGTTAGTTGATTAGGGTAGAGCTAGCCAATTGTATTGCTCAGATTGATCAGCTCAGCAAAATCACTGACGTTATATTGTGGCTCTTTATCTGTCTGATACCCATTCACTATGTCTGTTTCTGACACTTGTTACTGTTGGGAAAATCACAACAAAAGAGCATTCCTAAGAAGATGATGAAGTGACTTGTATTTAGTGGGATTGTCACAAAGAGACTCCCAAGCCCCATGCAGTTGCAAGGTTTCCCACAGATTATGAATCACAAAAAGAACAGGGCCACTATGTCTGCTTCTCAACTTCTGCTTCTGCAGCCAGTCAGAAGAGAAAGCAGCACAGGGCAGTCTTACAGCTTCTGCTGGGGTCTCAGGCAACCTTTCAGAAGATCCTGTCTTCAGTGCTCAATGAGTTCACCTAGAGCGTGGAGTTCAAGCCTTCCACAGGATGTGTATAGTCTTGACCAGTTTTAGAAAAATTACTGTGCAGAGAAGATAAGTTGCATTCTCTCTCTCTCTCTTTTTTTTTTTTTTTTTTTTTTGGTTTTTCGAGACAGGGTTTCTCTGTATTGTTTTGGAGGCTATCAGTCCAGCCCAGCCTCGAACACATTCTTAATTGTGTGTTAGAACATTGACAAGGTCTAATGGCTCTTGTTAAAGATAGATCTAGAGCCGGGTGTTGGTGGCACACGCCTTTAATCCCAGCACTCGGGAGGCAGAGGCAGGCAGATCTCTGTGAGTTTGAGGCCAGCCTGGTCTACAGAGTGAGTTCCAGGACAGCCTCCAAAACAATACAGAGAAACCCTATCTCGAAAAACAAACAAACAAACAAAAAAAAGATCTAGAAACAGAGATAGATAGATGTACACATATTCTTCATATTGTTCGGACCAAAGGAAATGTTTACGCTGGCATAGAAGTTGTAATTATTTTGTTCGCTGTTTCGTGTTGCTTGCTCAGATTTGAGAGTGTGTTCCTTTTCTCCATTTACCAGCTCATCCTCACTCTCCTTGCCCCAGGACCTTTGCTTCCACTTTCCCTTCTTTCAGCTCCACTCACTCAGCGGTAATCTATTTTGAGCTAGACTTTAACACAATGCTATTTTGATGGATGACTCACTAATGTCTCCTTATATTCTCCATTCTCTGTTAATTCCATGAACATTTTCATTTTAAAGCTGCTTGTGAGTCTGAGGCTCAGAACTCTCTTGTTTCAAGAGTTCTTAAAACAAACTTGGCCTCCACATCCCCTTTCTGACCTCTTAAAAAGGTATATGTTTGAGAGATGTCATATGAATGGTTTTGAACTCTTCTAAGAAAGGCTGGGCAGAAGATGACTCAGTGTGTATGAGTGATTGCTATGCCAGCATGAGAACCTGAGAGCAAATTTTAGCATCCATGTAAACAGCTATGCATAGCCACACACAGTCCTGTAACCCCAGCATTATGGTAGGAAGAGAGAGGCTCCAGGTTGAATGAGAGACACTGTCTCAAATGAAGAAGCCACCTTATTAGAGTGATACAAGATAACACCCTGTTTCCTCTCCTGGCCCCTGTACATGCTCACACAGGCAGATATACATACCACTCCACACTCGCATAAACACATGCTAGCACATGTGTGTGTGCACATGCGTACAACAAAAGACTGATAGGACTTCAGCCCAATCCAATGGCCATTTAATGCTTATTAAACACTATGACAAAAGTAACTTGGGGAGAGAAGATCACATTCCTTCACTGAGGGAAGTCAAGAAAGGAACTCAAGCAGGGAGGGAAACTGCAAACAGGAATTGAAGCAGAGACCATGGAGGGGTGCTGCTTACTGGCTTGCTCCTCATAGCTTGCTCAGCCTGCTTTCTTATGCCACCTGGATGGTCACCAACCATATGTGGCCTCTTGAGCATTTGGGAGGTCAGTATAGTCTATGATGTTACTTATGTGCAAAGTGGGATCTAAGACAAAGTATGGGGGAAAAAAAGAGGATCAAAAATTTTACAGTCTGGCGTGGTAGTGCACACCTTAAGACTCAGGAGGCAAGGGCAAATGGACCTTTGTGAATTCAAGGGCAGCCTGGTCTACATAGAAAGTTCCAGGCATGTAAGGACTATGTAGCCAGACTTTGTCTTCAAAAAACAGGAGGAAAGCCTGGCAGTGGTGGTGCACACCGTTAATCCCAGCACTCGGGAGGCAAAGGCAGGTGGATCTCTGTGAGTTCGAGGCCAGCCTGGTCTACAGAGCGAGTTCCAGGACAGCCTCCAAAACAATACAGAGTAACCCTGTCTTGAAAAAACAAAACAAAACAAAAAAAACAGGAGGAAAAAAAAAAAAGCACATATTGTTCTTGCAGAGGACCTGATTCAGGTTCCCAGAACCTACTAAACCTTTCTCAGATGCTGGGACAAGATGGTTACAGAAGAGGAGTCCAGGATAGCCCAAAACTACTCTTCTGTTTCCCGCCAAGCCTTTCTCTCCGAAGGGGACTGAACCTTCCCTCTGTGTCCCTTTACCTGTCTCTTACTTGACTCTGCAAACCACCCCTGGCCTCCTCCATCCTCTGCCTCTCACCTCCCCCCTGCCCCCCCACAGAGACATCACAACAGCCCAGCTCCAGCACTCCACTTCAGAGACCTAAGAGCCACAGGGATCACCCCCCCCCTGTGGCTGTGGCTGCTGCCATTCCTTTTGTCCCCTGACCAGTTGCCTGGGCTTTAGGTCACATAAAACAATAGCAGAGAGTTGAAATAAGCCCTTCCACTCCCTGTCTTGCTAGGGAGTATTATTGTGTTTTACTATTGTCACTATTTTTAACATCAAGGCCCTCCCTCTTCCTGTTTCAGAGTGGAGTCTGAAACCATCAGTACAAAAAATGTAATAAAGTTTAGGACTATGTAATCTCTCCCTGTTGCTTTAGTGATTTATAAGAATTAAATAGCTAACTTCCCCTCCCCAGTTTAATTGAAACCGGGGTTTTCCAATCAAAGGTATTAATAAAGCCTTCGATTTTTAGCAAGATTGGAGAGTCTCAGAGCCTTGCTAATAGAGATTCACACGGCAAATTCTCTAATTCGTTTTGGCCCCTGTCTGCAGTCCATGCCCCATTTCTACTCCTCATTTTTCCAAGTACACAGACTAATTGAGCAGTTTAAAGCTGGCCGTTAGAGCTACCCATTTAGTGTGGAAGCAGCCACTCACTAGCCTGTGTTTTTTAGAGCAAGCAATAAACGCAAACACCGCCTGAAATCAATGAGCATGATATTAAAATGCCTGCAGTATCCATTATTCATAGAAATAGCAAATTTGCAGCGTTTCAAGCCAGCACATGGCGGAAAACTTAGAAATGTGATGTATTTCTGCGGACAGCTAGTCCTATGATGACTCACAGCACCAAGCTCTCCCTCACTGTTCTCCTTATTAAACACAGCACTGCAAGTTTGGATTTTGTGTTCCTAAAGAAACGGAGGGCCCTGCGACTGATGGATCCTGGGGAAGTTGGAGTCACTTTGGAACCTGCTCAAGAACATGTGGAGGAGGCATCAAAACAGCCATCAGAGAGTGCAACAGACCAGAGTGAGTTCTAAAGCCTTTGGCTGCCATCACTGATGCAGCCGGATGGGGGGGGGTGCTCCAGAGGAATTCTTCATCTGGGGGCTAAGAAAGAGGGAGCAGGTGGACTTCAGGGCTGTGAGACCCAGGGTACCCCGAACACCTTAATTCTACGATATTCTTTTCCTTTCCTGATCTGCTGCCATCCATTAAATTTGTCTGTCAAACAACTGATACTTTCGCATTGGCTGCTCTTAATCACCAGGCATGTCTCATGGCACCCTGGAGTTTGGGATAGCATGTTCAGAGTGAGCAAGTAGATTGTATAAGAAGTGAGGACCACCACAAGCACAATTTGCAAGTCAAGTACTAACTGGGACAAGAAGAGACACCATCAGACCTATGGGTCCTACTCTTGGCTATTTTGTTTACAAATTTGCCTCTGAGATGCCTGATGGCAGAAACAAGAACCTCTGGAATTTGTTCAGTCTTCCACATAGGAGACAGCAAAGGCCTAGTTAAGAAAGGCAGACACGTTTCCTCCTTCCTTGGTGATTCTATTTTGTTTTTAAATTAAGAAATAGGCTAAATTTCAAAATAATGAATTTGTCAATCTGAAAAAAAAAAGATTGTTAACTAGATATTTCCCATTCAGGGTTTTACTATAGCAACTGCATATAAAATCTTACTTTAAAAGAAATCAGGACATATCTGTTTCATTTAAAATTAATTTGAAATGTTATTTTTGTCAGTATGGTCACAACAAAAATGTTTAAATATTTTTGCATATGTATTCCTTGGGGCATGTGTATGCCTATGCACCTGTGTAGCACGGTACACGTGTGGAGGTCAGAGAATGACTTGTGGGAGTCCGTTCCTTCCTTACACCATGGATCAAACTCAGGTTGTCAGACCTGGTTGCAAGAACCTTTACCCACTGAGGCGAGGCATTGCCCCCGCCCTCCCCCTCCCTCCCCGCCAATTTTGGGAATCATTGATTAGATGAACTATTTCCAAAATGTTGAGAACTGAGAACTGGTTACTATGGAAGAGTCATTAAGTAATGAAGCAATACAGAATCAGCCCCCTAGTGTGCACCATTAGAAAAGATCATTAAAGGTAGATTAACCAAAGTCCCTCTCCTGTTATCTAACTCTTGAATAGGATTCCTCCCAACTGAGACATTGGCCTCTTCTGATAACCTGGAAGCATAGGCACTGGCCTACCTTCCTTATGTCAGGAGATTATTTTTTGGACTAACTACCCCAAATCTGATTGCACTAATTCATATAAATAAACAAAGGAGCTGCTGTATCTGTTCTAGCCAATTTGTAGACAAAAACTCAGCTGTCTTTAAGACTAGAGTGCACCTGTGATGGTGTTTGTAATCATGATGGATGCTCCCTAATTTAATCAACTGGCATGTGTAACATGTACTTGAAGGAATGACCTAAGCTGGCTGTACAGAGTGATAATTAATCTCCCAACTTCCTGAAGTCCTTTTTATTCCCATTTGGCACCAAGTATCCTTTAAAAAATCTTTTTAGTTGGGAGATGCAGCTAGCAGTATTTCCAAAGTTGAATTTCTAATAGTTTCAATATTTGCCTACATGGAAAAAATAGTCATATCCAAACAAATTTTTTAATTATGAGATTAATTGTTCCATTCTGAAAGGTTTATGGATATATATTTCCATATTATACGGTACACACAAATGAGATAGAAACCACATTGTCTAGGAGATGTGTAGTTCAAAAGGGCACATTTGCATTCATTAAAGCCACATGCAGAGTTAGAAGGAAGTTATAATCTGATTTTACACACAAAAAAAACCCAAAGCCATAGACTGAGTTTGATATGCAGAGTGCTGGGATTAAAGACATGTGTTACTGTACCCAGCTATATGCTCTCATTTTAAAGAAGGGAAAAACTGGGCCTCAGGGCACAGTAAGGAAACTAGACTGGAAACCAGAACCAATGTACCACCTTCAGCTGCCCCTCCCCCCCCTCCGTTATGGTCATGGTTGATATATTTCCCAGCTCCTAAAACCTCTACTTGAAAAACAAAACAAAATCCATTTCTTATACTTTGGATTACTCTGAAAAAAAAATCACTGAAACAGAAAAATTGTGAACTTCGTCTTGGAGCTCCATGGTGTTCTGAGATCATTGTGTATTCTGGGCTGTTTGAGTGTCCGTGGTTGAGTTCTGAATCCTTCCCTACCTCTGTGATGAATTTGGCCAGCTGCTGATAGCTAGGGGATGTGTTGTGTAATTTATAATCTGGGTAACATCTGGAAAAGACATGTGCAGAGTTTCACACTGAGAATGAATTTGCGCCATGGTGCTTCTCCAGAGTGTACCCTACTTGAGCAATAGTGTAAGGAAACCAGTGTGCTTTCTCCTCCTGTGACATAGATCAAAGTGTGGACATATGCCATGTGTGTGGTTTACTTAATAAACCAAAGCAAAAGACTAGTTGTCGGAAAGAAGATGGGAGAGGACAAAATGAGAAGTGTGAAAGGAAGGGAGTGTGTTCCTGTTGTCTCCTTTGAGAAGGTCAAGGTGTAGAGAACAAACAGGAGACAATCTAGTAGCAGTACCAGCTTTTCTTACAAAATTATTAAAGTTGAAGGACTAATCATTTGGGAAAAGGGAACAAAGACCAGCTCTGTATGTTCAGGCTTTCTGTTTGGTACTTGACATATTACCCTCAAAGAAGGTTTAAAAACTTGGTACGGTGATGCACGCCTATAACACCAGCATTCTGGAGCTGGAGGCACAGGATTAGGAGTTCAAGATCAGCCTCAACTCCATCAGTAGTTTTAGGACAGCCTGGTATACATGAACTAGTATCAAAGAAAAAACAACAACAAAATCTAGACATAAGACAGGCACCTCCCATTTCATAGTTGTATATGCTGAGGCAAAGTTTGACTTCTTTACTTAATGTGAGACTTAATGGATTCAAAGGCAGAAAGCAAAGTCAGACCCAGAGATGCTGATGGGAGGCAGAATGCAAACCTGGAGTCTGGAGTCACATCCTTCTACCTTTGTCACGTGTAATCTCAAACTTGCTTCCTTAAGACCCAGCCAGTCATAAGCGAAGGAGTGATGAGTAGAAAAGTAGGTTTCAATGCATTGTATCTGTTGTCTCCATTTTTTTTCAGGCCCAAAAATGGTGGGAAGTACTGCGTAGGGAGGAGAATGAAGTTCAAATCCTGCAACACTGAGCCCTGCCTAAAGCAGAAGCGAGATTTCCGTGAAGAGCAGTGTGCTCACTTTGATGGCAAGCACTTTAACATCAATGGTCTGCTGCCCAGTGTGCGCTGGGTCCCTAAGTATAGTGGAAGTAAGTTCAGTGGGGCTGGAGCGTGTGGCTGCCAGGCTGGAACTCAGTCCAGGCATGGAAGTCACATAGCATCATGATCTTCCTCTCTAGTTTTGATAAAGGACCGATGTAAGCTGTTCTGCAGAGTGGCAGGGAGCACAGCCTATTACCAGCTCCGAGACAGAGTGATCGATGGAACCCCTTGTGGCCAGGACACAAATGATATCTGTGTCCAAGGCCTTTGCAGGGTAAGTCCATGAGACATTTTCTTCTTTGAACTGTCCTGTTACCTAACTGATTTGTAGCCTCTTAATAGAATGATAGCCACCACTTCCTGGCTTTTGTTTTCACTAGTTAGAAATCATTCCTAGCTTGACCAAGCTCTGAACTGATGAATGCGGTCACTATATGTGGCCCAAGGGCCAACTAGAATTACTGGGGTTTCAGGCTTTATTGAAATATCACCTAAGGGGATAAAGAGATCATTTCATGGTTAAGAACACTAGCTACTCTTTTAGAGGACTTGGGTTGTGTTCCCAGCACCTACAAAGCATTTGACAACCATCCCTAGATCTAGTTCCAAGAGGATCTGCTGCCTTCTCCTGACCTTTGAAGGCCTTAGACATACATGTAGTTCACATACATACACAGCCAGTACATTTGCATACATAAAATTAAATAAATATTTAAAAAGAAAAAGTAGGTTTACATTCCTCTCAGCTTGCGCTGAAAGTATGTATTCTCTTGTCATTACACTCAGTTGAGATGCATTAAGCATACTAAAAAGCCAGAGATAAGAATGAGGGCTCGATTCTCCTGTAGGCTTGACTGTTGCTAGGGTCCTCCCTGCATTTGCCAGGGCCCTCTTTCTTTATTGCTTTGCTGGGTAAATAAGTTGCTGAGGGGGTTGCACAAAAAAAACAAACTCCCAATTTCTCCTGATAATTGGAACATTTCAACACTTGTGATTCTAAACATCAGCAGTAGCCTGGATTGAGGAGCAGCTTGTCCCTTAAGATGTGCAGGAGCTCTCTGGTGTGGCGCTGGCATCACCATTCTGCTTTAGTTTTCATTGCTAGGCAGTTTTTTTTTCATTTACTCTGTTTATTCATAGACCATTACACCTCAAACTTTAATCTATGCATGAAGCACCAGGGCCATTGGTTAAAATGCCAGTTCTGATTCAGTAGGGATGGGTGGTTCTAGAGAGTCAATATGCCAAAGAGCATCAAAGATGCCAGGTTACTGTGGTCTAATGATGGCATCCTAAATGGCAAACTGTAGACAATTGAGTTCTCAACCTTTGCGGGCTTTAAAGGGCATGACTTTCTTGTCATTTTTGGATTCATATCCCCGAAAGAAATGCATGACTTGCCATTTTATTATCTCTATAATACTTACCACTTATGTCAATTGTTTTCTTTTAAAAAGCAAGCTGGATGTGATCATATTTTAAACTCAAAAGCCCGGAAAGATAAATGTGGGATTTGTGGTGGCGATAATTCTTCATGCAAAACAGTGGCAGGGACATTTAACACAGTCCATTATGGTAAGAATTTGTTCCTAGGAACCAGGGGGAAGGAAGGGTTTAAAAATAAATTGTTAACTTCATATAATACAGGAAGATATCAATATGAGGGGTAAAATCAGTCTTGCTATGGTATATTATTAATCTGGCTATACAGCATCGTAGTGGTAATTGTCTTTTCTGGTTGCCTGCCTTTTATTCTGTCCTTGGAGAATGTGAAATGCACAGCACAATACTGATCTTGTGCTAAACTCTCTGCAGGCTACAATACTGTTGTCCGAATTCCAGCTGGGACTACCAGCCTTGATGTGCGGCAGCACAGTTTCTCAGGGAAATCCGAGGATGACAACTACTTAGGTAAGAGCCACGTCCCTGACATGGACATGAATTCTGAGTCCCGGGTCTCTTTCCGAAGCAACAGGTTCTCACCACTTCCTTCCTCTGTTGTACGTGACAAGCTTCCTTCTATCAAAGAAGATGATCTTGAAATTCATTATCATATTTCTTATCCTGAATATTCCCTCAGAAGATTGACACAAGGGTTATATTGTTACAGTATTCAATAGCAAGCGATTTGCTCCAGATCTTATACTCTGAGTTTAGCATAGAGTTGTGGATCTCCTGGAACACTTTAAAAACGTCTGTCTCCTGGGGAACTGACTTGCAAACGTTTTCTTAGAAGCATTATTTGACTTAATTTTTACGTTATCAACACTAACCAGGAGCAGACTCTTCACGGGTCTATTTGGTATTTTACTATGCCTGGTATATATCTCCATTTCTTCCAAAAGAGGCTATAATTGCAAGCATTTTTAAAGCCATTATTACAAAAATCAGCCTACCCTGCTATAGTACAGACTCTTCCATTTTCTCCTTTAAAATTAATTCCTATATTCTTTATACCTACCCACACAATTATTTTATATCTTTTCTTATGCTTACCCACATAAGTAGTTCATATATATATTCCTCATCTTTAAACCACATCTCACCAAAGACCTCTGTTGGTTTTTGCCAGCCTCCCAAACCAGACCAACTTCAATTTATTGTTCTTCAAACTGCCTTAAGTGATTATGAAATTTGCCCAGTGCTCTGTGAAAGAAGGATATGGGCAAGAGGAGGGTGACAGAAAGGGATTTGGTAGGTCCCCTTGTACAGCTAGGCTTCTCCTGCCTCAAAGCATGGCCATAACTGGTACTTGGCTCTAGAAGAAATAGAAGCCAACTTCCTGAGTAATCACTGCTTAAAAAAAAGAAATTGATTTACTGTTTCATTCTAATGTGCTGGCAGGAATTCTATTGATCCATCTGAATGTAGCCTGGAGAGCTCTAATCCAAGCATTCCGACATGAATGGCTAATGAATATCTGTTGAATCAAATGAGAACCTACATCTGTGTTTTGAAATGTCTGCATGAACTCATGCATTCATAGCCAGACACACTAGCCATACTAACTTATATATGACTCTGCAAAAGTGTTTTCTGCTGTGTCACCATTTCTTCCTGCATTCACTTGTTTATTACATGCCAGCATTACTTTCAACACTATAAACTAAACAAACTAAAATTTACAAAACTCTGTCTTCTTGAAGCCTTCTCTTCATGAGTCAAGAATGACAATAAACAGTAACTTAATCAACATGGTCTGTGCTCGAAGAAGATGCTAAGTGGTATTAGAAATCCAAACAGCACACAGGGAGTAGATAGGGACAGACCACTAAAGAAAGTCAGCTTCTGGGAAGAGAGACTCTTTGTACAGTCTTTGTGTACATGGCGGAGGCGATGGAGTATATGTGTGCGCACACACACAGAAAATCATACCACCTACCCTGCTCTATCACTCTTGTGGCTCTTACCAGGGCTCTCACTGAACCCTCGGCTAGAGTAAAGGCCAACAAGCAACCTTAGTGATCCTCCTGTGTCTGCCTACCATGTCGCCCTGGGCTTAGAAGCCTGTATAGCTGCCCCATCCCCATCTTCTTACTTGAATAGTGGGGGTTTGTATTGAGGTCCTTAATGGTTGTGCGGTCAGTGATGGGACTCATTAAACGACTTCCTAACCCTTCTTTGCAAAGTCTTTGAAGGAGGATTCTGCAAAAAGCAGAAGGAGTTCTCTGTGCCTGTTGTTGAGGGAAAGTGGAGAATCTTAGTGCTAAATGGTGTTAGGACAAGACCATGTTGAGCAGTGTGCTCAAAAGAACACTTGGACTGTTATGTTGAGCATCATTGATAGAACAGCAATACTGGTTAGGAAGTTCTATCAAGAATCCAAGAGAAGTTTAGTGTGGTGGTACCAACCCTTAACACCAGCAGAGGGGAGACTGAGGAAGGATGATGGTGAATTGGAGATCACTCTGGGATACATGGGAGGCTTTGTCTCAAAAATTAAAAAGGAAAAATAAAGAATAAAGAGACAGGTTCTATAAAGAGGAATGCTAATGTCTTGACCTCAGTGAGGAGAATGGAGATGATGGTGAGTGTCAAGGGTCTGTCTCTCTTTTCAATTTGCAGTTATCTTGATTTGTGGTGGATTGAGTATGGCATAGGAAAGGGAAAGGACCAAGGTGTGTTAGCCTTGGATTCAGCCCCTTGTACACATTGAACAAGACATGATGGCAGGCTCCTGTAACCCCAGGACTTAGGAAGTACAGTCAGGAGGATCAGAAGTTCAAGGTCATTTCAACTACATAGTTTAAGGCTAGCCTGTGGTACATGAGACCAATTCAGGGAAAGGAAGAAAGAGAGACAGAGAGAGAGAGAGAGAGAGAGAGAGAGGGAGGGAGGGAGGGAGGGAGGGAGGGAGGGAGGGAGGCAGGGAGGGAGGGAGGGAGGGAGGGAGGGAGGGAGGAAAGAAAAGAAAGAAAGAAATACATAAAGAAGAAGGGAGAGACAGGAAGGAGTGAAGAAAGAAAGGAAGGAAGGAGGGAGGGAAAGGAAGAAAACAAGGTTAAAATTATCTTAGAGACAAAAGGAGTCAAAAACTCTCAGGTTTGGCCCTAAGCAGTAGGAAGGAGGCAGTGTCCCCCTCCCTCACCCCGTGCCCCCCCCACCCCGTTCCCCCTCCCCCCTGGGGAGATAAGACTTGTTACTTATTCATCCACACAATCCCAGTAGTTTAAGGTCAGGGCTATTGCCTGCATGTTTCATTCCCGATACAATGTGTACAAGAGAAGCCTGAGTAAACATTTACTGGATTGATGAACAGCCATTGCTAGTTCCTCATGGAAAATGGAATTCTCTTGGAGATAAAGGCTCAATTTCTTCAAAAGCCTAGAAAGCCTAACTTGTAATTAATTACTAGACAGCTGGATCTGCTTTTTAACACCAAGTATTAAATTGAGTGGTAGCTTTACAAGAAAATAAATAGGACTGGGTTGTAGCTCAGTTATGAACCATGTGTTTACAATTGAGCATTTACTGGTCCTAGGTTCATCAAAACACATACACACACACACACACACATGCACGAATTGAAATAAGATGATTAACAAGCTTCTGGAAACCACCTTCAAGTCACTCCCACATTTCTCATTCTGCGACTGCTCAAAGTATGTCAGGCATCTTTCCCCATATACTTAGCTATAAATTTGAGCATTTAGTAGTCTATATGTTCTGAGTTCATCCTAACTAAGTTAAGCAGCATGGCATGAAGTGTCCCTTACGAATTAGTTTCTTGAGAGCTGAAGGCTATCTTGAATCATTCTCTTCTGTTCCTTGAATCATTCTCTTCTGTTCCAAAGGAAAAGGAAGGGTTCTCTTCTATTTCCTTTGGAAAATATATAATCACTGTCCAGGTAGCGACCTCACTTCTTTTCAGTACAATCACTGCAAGTCAGGCATCTGAACTCAGGCAGTCTTCTGGCCAACTTTTCTTCTTTACTGGGCTTTTCTCAATCCCCTTGTTAATTAATGAAAATAAAACTAAAGAAAATTTGTTCAGGGATGGTCAGCGTGGGCAAGTCACCGCTTGCCTCTCTGAAAGGGAATGAGGAGTGTGCAAGCATTGATTGCAGGTCACGGCCCATTGAGTGTAAAACCAGACCTCAGAGTCCCAGCCTCACAACGGTTCCTAGGGAGGATCCGTTGTCACATTTGTGTCACAAATGTGGGGTGTGTGCACATTTACTCTTGGCTTGAAGCTAGGTGCTATTACAGAGCACTTCAGACACTTTACAGCCCACCACTCTGAGTCTTGCTAAGTTCAGTCATTGCCACTCTGTAGCTAAACAACCTTCATCCTTTGCCCTGATAGCCGTGTACACATCGGTCAAGTCTCACACTCTTCCTGTGTGTTTTGAAGAGGAAGACTTTTCTAGTGGAACCTCTGTAGCAACCGGGTTCTGATGGGTGTGACAGGAGGGACAGCAACCCAGGAAATTAGCTTCCCTAATCTCACTAGCAGGAAGTAGGGCTGGAGTGTCTGGGATTTGGGAAACGGTTTGTTTCACGGGGTACTGAAGCAGAAAGCCTGCCGGTCAAAGGTCATCTTCCACTGGGATTCCCTCCTGTTGGCTTGAAACCACATTGTGCTGCTCTGCCATGTTCCTATCTCTTCAGGAGAAAGTGTAACCATTTCTGTGAGGCTTTCTTGCCTCTGGGATGTTTAGCTATGAATTAACTCTGGCAGTGGGAAATCCCACACCCATGCAGTGCAAGAGAAAGCCAGAGTTTCATTTCACTGATACATTTACAGAAATCCGTAGGCAAACCATTTGTAGGAACAAATCATGAGAAGGGCTTTACATGGTTCAGGGTCATGTCTCACTGTGCACTCACAACCGGGGTAAGAAACATGCAGCGAAGAGTGACCTTCCTCCTGTCCTGCAGAGGCCTGAGAGGCAACCTAAAGCCATAGGGAGAGATGGGGATTGCTGCTCAACTTATAACTCTGGCATGTGGCATTTTATTCCCCCCTCTCGGGTAGCTAGCCTGTGACTTAACTTGAAAGAACTGAGTGGTGGTGTTGACAGCACATCATGCTTTTGTGTGTAAGTGACTTGCTTTGGAAATAGCCTGAGGTGCCAAGGAAACAGCCTCATTTATTCTCTGTTACCCATTGAAAACCCTGCATCTCAAGTGGCTGGCAGCTCATCCCCTCCAGGAGCTAAGTGTGAGGCACAGTTCACACCAGGCTGAGGGGGTGAGGGTCTGAGGTTCACACCAGCTGGAAAATACTCATGCCAAGTGGGAGTGTTCTATTCTCCTTCCAGGGGTGACAGCTTCAATCACTCTCTCACTCTCTCATTCTTTTAACATCACTCTTCACTAGCTACTAAGGGTTGGGATCTTGGGATCTCGGTGTTTATGGAGGTGAGCTGTGAACCGATTTTAGCAATCATGCCAAGTTGTTAAAAAGCTGTCTCCATTCTATTTGTAAACAAGAGAAAGAATGGATGAGTGAATGTGTCTACTTGACAAATGTTTGCTGGCTGTCTTCTTGGACAATGTTAGTGTCTCACAAGTTATGGAGACAGATTCCCATGAGTAGAAGCTGTCTGGCCTTGATAAATTAATGTGGTGATTTGTAAATCATTCTTTTCTCATTTGTACAGCCACATGCACAAATGTGTAACATGTGTAACAGACCAGCTTCATGGAGGTATGATGAGTAGTACAGTATAAGTTCCTCTTTGAGTAGTGGAGTAGCTGGACACTTGGGAAGGGGACCTATGTCTAGAAGAGCCCTTAAAATGAGGCCAAAGTTGTGTGATACATGCTAAAGAGAAACAGTGTCGTTGGGATTTTAAAAAGACATGACTTTTTAATGTTTTATTTATTTAATTCAAGTGAAATGCATGTGCCTCTATCTGTATCTGGAGATCAGAAGACAACTTGAGGAAACAGGTTCTCTCCACCCATGTGGATCCTAGGGCTTGAACCTAGTTCATTGGACTTGGCAGCAGGTGTCTTTCCCTGCTGAGTCATCTTGCTACCCATCACTGAAATTTTTGTCTTTAAAAAATGAATATGCTAATATATTTCTTCTATCTTATATCTAACCAAATTATTTTTAATTTCAATCAAGCCACTTCCGTTGTAATGGAAAGAAACATGGTCAATCAGCCTGTATTTTCACAAAAGTTGTCCAGTGGTAGAAAAGTAATGAGTTCTTAGGATTCAGTTCAATGGGAAACTCTGAAATGCAGTCATTTTAGAGAGTTTCTGGTTATACCAGGTGTGACAGCTTCAGCTTTGAGTCCTAGCACTCAGGAGGCAGAACTGGAGGAAGGCTGCTCATTTGAGACCACAGTGATAAACATAGTGAGTTTACCCCAACTCAGACTACAAAGGGAGACCTCATTTCAAGCAAAATGTTCTGGAACTTCTAACTTTCCCAGTAGCTTCTTCCTACCCTCTAAAGAGTACGTTATTCCTTCTGGGGCTGGGGCTGCTGTCTCCACTCCTGGTAGCACGTGTGTGTCTATCAGACCTTAAGACTTCAGCCTCCATCTCTAATCCTGCAACTATCTATACTGTATAATTAACTTCAGAAAGATGAGGACTTTTATATTTCTCTTAGTTTACATAGGCACCAAAATGGGTGAGTGTTTTTATCTCCACTTATTGACAAAGAAGTTGAGACCAAGAAGGGTTTGTCATCCATGGTCACTTAGCTAGCACACAGCAATCCAAGCCTGTGAATTGATGGTCTGGCTGAGAAGCCCCCAGTCTTCTGCCTGCCCCTGCCAATCCAACAGTCTTTGTTTTTTGGTTTTGGTTTTGGTTTCCAGCACAGCTGGTCAGCGGCAGCACCTCACCCAATTCTCTTTTCTCATCCACAGCTTTATCTAACAGTAAAGGTGAATTCCTGCTAAATGGAGACTTTGTTGTCTCAATGTCCAAAAGGGAGGTCCGTGTGGGGAACGCTGTGATTGAGTACAGCGGGTCCGACAATGTTGTGGAGAGACTTAACTCCACAGACCGCATCGAGGAAGAACTTCTCCTTCAGGTAAAAACTCGGCTGCTGGCCGGTGGCTCTCTCCTCTTGGCACTGCGGGTCCGCAGACTCCTTTCCAATTTCTCCACATGTTGCAGGTGCTGTCAGTGGGAAAGTTGTACAACCCTGATGTGCGGTACTCATTCAATATTCCAATTGAAGACAAACCCCAGCAATTCTACTGGAACAGTCATGGGCCGTGGCAAGCCTGCAGCAAGCCCTGCCAAGGTATCTGCTCAAGAGTTTCCGCTTTTGTGAATTGAGGGTGTTGGAGGTGGTGGGGAGGGGAGGTATTTACTTACTGATCCTTTTTTTTTAAAGAACAGCTATGTACATACAATCTGCAAACCTTTCTGCTTGCATACATCTTCTCACCTCATTTACTTGGACCATCCTGGAGATTTTGGTTGTCAAATTGAACTTTATAAGATTCGGGTCATGTCAGGCCATACTACATTTTCTCCTGTGAAGTGCAAATACATATGTGAAGCTATACAAAATCAGTACTGCCACTTTAATTTCCCATCACATGGCTTTACTGGCCATAATTTATATTAGTTTTGTTTCCTTTTGTTGAATTAAGGTCCTCAGACTATAGCAACAGTATCAAATACACCGACCACCCTTTTTATATTAATAAAATTTATTAGAACACGGATACACCAATTTGTTGACATACTGGTTTTGTTCTGTCCTGGCAGAATTGAGAAGTGTGACAGAGATCATATGGGCAACAAAACTGAAAATACTATCTAGCTTTTTATAGAAAACTTAGGCAAGTCCTTGATCTCATTTAGAGTAGGTTATGTCCTCAGCATAATGATACTCCTCTTTGCTTAGGGGAGCGGAGACGAAAGCTTGTGTGTACCAGGGAGTCTGATCAGCTCACTGTTTCTGATCAAAGATGTGACCGACTGCCCCAGCCAGGACCCGTCACTGAAGCGTGTGGCACAGACTGCGACTTGAGGTGTGTGGTCTCTGTTTTTCTTGTGTCTTTCTTCCAGGGTCTAGCGGGCTTGAGGGGAGTTTCTGTGGGGAATGAGTTAGAGACAAGAGTTGCTGACCTTTTTCTAGACTCCCAGTGTTTTCCTCACACAAGTTCTAGCCACTTCTGAAACTACTTAGCTGAGATATAACTGGAATATTTGTTCTCCTAAGGATTAAAAATAGTTAATAGAATATAGCGCTTGTCAGAAAACATTCTCTCTTGATGTTCACAACTCAGTGATGGTGTATTGGCCTTGCCACTGAGTCATATCCTATGTAAGAGTCCCTGTAGTGTTCCCTTTCCATCCAGAGTCGACACCATGCAGAATTCTTATGTACACAAAAGTTTCAGTCTACATACATCATACACATACACAACTCATAAACACACACACACAGAGTGAGAGAGGGGGGGAGAGAGGGAGGGAGGGAGAGAGAGAAAGGGGAGAGAAAGAGAGAGAGAGAGAGAGAGAGAGAGAGAGAGAGAGAGAGAGAGAGAGAGAGAGAGAGAGAGATGCTATGCGTTAAGGGAAAGGCATAGAGGAAAGAGGAGAAAATCTAAATACAACTAAGTATTCACACAATTCTGTGTTTAAGAAAGGTGTGACATCTGATGGAAGAAATATTGGGAGGGTAGAGAATTCTAAAGTGTTCTATTGCCTGAGAGGTTGACTGTGTCATAAGTATCCAACAGCTGGAGGGCTGTACTGTATAATCTGCCAGGTCAGTGACTACTTTGACCATTTACAGAAGAGAGATTATTAGCATAGAATTGTAAGGGAATGTGATAAGGTCTCTCCATTCATTAGCATAGAATTGTACAGAGTATGATAAGATCTCTCCATTCATTAGCATGGAATAGTGTGGGAATGTGATAAGGTCTCTCCATTCATAAGTAGCAGAGTGCACACATAAGCATTTTGGAGGTTCCACATCACCATGTCCAATCTTCATAGTATTAGCTGCCTAGTGCAGTAGTACAGATTATAAGGTCCTCTTGTATGCCATGGTCAAATAATTAACAGTGTTCTGTCCTAGGAGTCAGAGGGCAATGGTGGCATGTGTGTCATAGATCTCCCAATCCTGACCTGAGGCTCTGACTTTAAACCAGGGTCTTTCCACTCTACCACACTTTCTGAAGTAATAGTTACTGACTGGGTCACTAAATGGCTTGTCAGAAAGTATGGACAAAAGCCATTGTAAAAGCAAGACATTAAAAAGTAGGTATTAATGTAAACATTAAGCAGTATTTTGTTTTAGGCATTGTCCATATAAACCTATTTGCATCAGTCATTTGAGTTAAATTAGTTAAGGTAGAATTAAGGAGCCCTTTGAGGTGGGGAAAATGCAGGTAACAGTTAAGCTGCATGATCACTGGATTCATGCACAACTTCCTTGAGATGCAAGGTTAACCAACTGAGGAAGACTGCATTTCCAGATTGCCTTGAGTCCAGCCCTCACTACATCTCCTGCCATTCTGCAGCAGTTATGGTAGAGGGAGTCCCTCCTAACTAAGGCCTGAGAGCAGTTATGGTAGAGGGAGTCCCTCCTAACTAAGGTCTGAGAGCAGTTATGGTAGAGGGAGTCCCTCCTAACTAAGGTCTGAGAGCAGTTATGGTAGAGGGAGTCCCTCCTAACTAAGGTCTGAGAGCAGTTATGGTAGAGGGAGTCCCTCCTAACTAAGGTCTGAGAGCAGTTATGGTAGAGGGAGTCCCTCCTAACTAAGGTCTGAGAGCAGTTATGGTAGAGGGAGTCCCTCCTAACTAAGGTCTGAGAGCAGTTATGGTAGAGGGAGTCCCTCCTAACTAAGGTCTGAGAGCAGTTATGGTAGAGGGAGTCCCTCCTAACTAAGGTCTGAGAGCAGTTATGGTAGAGGGAGTCCCTCCTAACTAAGGTCTGAGAGCAGTTATGGTAGAGGGAGTCCCTCCTAACAAGGTCTGAGTTTTCTTTTGGTTGTTCTGTTTTGTTGTTGTTGCTTTCACAATACTGGAGACTAAACCTAGGGAATTACATATGCTAGGCAAGGGTTCTGCCACTGAGTCAACCCCAGCCTTCTCTTTACATTTTAAAATAGGGTCTCACTAAGCTAAGAACTATTTTTAGCAGCTATATATAATATCCCCATGTGAATAGGATGGTTCTTATTATCCTTTAATACAATTAATAGTCTATTAATATTTCAGTTACTGTTATGTCTTAGTCAATGTGCCACACTTGTGAAGAGACACCATGACCAAGATCACTTTTTTCTTTATGTTTTTCATTATTCTTCTTTTAATTAAATGTATTCATTTCTTTTACATCCCCACAACAGTTTTCCCTCCCTCCTCACCTCTAATTCCCCCAGGAAACTCTTATAAAAGAAAACATTTAATTGGGAGCTTCTGTACAGTTTCAGGGCCTTAGTCCATTATCATCACAGCAGGAAGCATGGTGGCCAGCAGGATGGTGCTGGAGAAGTAGCTGAGTTATAACCTGATCCTTAGGTGAGGGACCTGGCATGGGTTTTTGAATGCCAGAGACATACTTCCTCCAACAAGGTCATACCTCCTAACCCTTCTCTAAGAGTGCTGCTCCCTGATGGATTTCAAATACATAAGCCCATGGGGGCCATTTTTATCCAAACCACCACAACTATAGCATATATTTTAATCATTATTCTATGTATAAAAACATTAAATCTTAGCACTGCTATGCAAATTGCTTCCGGTCACAATAGTTAGCATAGCAGCAGAGGTTTACATATATGCTTTAACTCTAGAAGAAAGCTGTTTTCTATCTTACTTCATTAATTCTGTAGAGTGATACTCGTGTGTTCTATTCTGTGATTCCATGTATGAAGAATTCTTTTCTACCAGTGTCTGTCCTGTCCCATCCATTCTTCTGCACTGGGACTTCATGTATGTGCTCTTCCTCTACTGCCTGACTCAGATTGGGGCTTGGCACATCCTGAGTGATACATGCAGATACTGCAGGGCTGCTGCCTAGAACACTATGCCTCCGACATTTATGATGGCAAAGAAAACAAGTCTGTGCAAAGCATTTAGAGAAATAGAATGTGGCAGTAAAACAAACAAATAATAATCCCAGTTCAAGTTTACCCAGCAAGTGTCCTTTTCAAAGTAGAGCTAATGTTTGCACTGTTACTTCAAGAGCCAAGCACTTTTCTCTTTGAGAAACCTCAGTGTGATCCCCAATTCAGGGTGCCATGGTGCCGGTTTCTCCTGCAGGGAAAGCTAGAAACACCCAGATCTTAAAAGCCTATGCAGGACAAGGCAGGCTCAGCTGAGAAGAGTCCTATGTCAGGTTGCACAGACTATCACAAGGGAGGCTGCCTCCTCATTGGCAAATGTTCGAAAGTTAGCTGAAGCTCAGACCATGGCTCATGGCTATGATCCTAGCCCTAGGGAAGCAGAGGCAGGAGGATTGAGAGCTTGAGGCCAGTCTCGGCTACATAGTGAGAACCTGTTTTATAAAACCAAAGGCCCGGGATGCATCATGGGCAAGGTCTTCTGATCTTCAGCACTGCAGAAAATTAAGGATAGGAGGCAAAAATAGAAATTGCTTAGAGGCAAAACAGCAAGGATAACAATAGTCATCATAATAATAGCTAATTTATTATCTTCCTCAGGTGTAAGTGCCCACCTTGCCCCACTTACTTCCCCTATGGAGGGCGGGATTCTGTTCCCTCCCATCTTGCAGGAGGCTTCAGCTTGATGAGAAGTGATTGACTTGGGCTTTCTGGTAATAAGTGTGAGAGCTTCCATTCATTCCCTACATCTGCTGATTAAATAGCACATACTCTGATTTTTGTTTATATTCTTTTCATAACACCAGATAAAGCTACGGCCTGAAATTTTTTGTTCCGATCAATAGTTAGGTCAATGTGTTCTTCTAAATCCCCCATTTAGAGTCTACTTTTAAAAACATTAAAAAAAAAAAAAACTCTGCAAAGGCCAAGTGAGGACAACAGCCGGAAGTGCAGGGTTGGATGACAAAAGCAGTTCTGATTGCAGATAAGAAGGCAAAGGATTTTTTATCCCTTCGGATCAGAGTGGGGAGGAAGTCCAGAGTGAATGGCAGAAAGAGTTCAGGATTAGCTTTAGAGCCACTAAACTAGGCAAGCCTACGCTCATGCCTAAAAGTCAGTAAGAGACTGGCTTTCAGACTCATCTCTTACTGGCTTCTACTGATTGCTGGAAAAATTAAAGGTGCCTGCTAAAATATACAGAGAAGCAAACCAAGCCTAAGGAAGATGCTGCCCATCTGAAAATCTGTCTAATCAAAACTTATGCCAAAGTGTGGCCAACTAGCTGTATGCACAACTGAGAGAATGGAGAGGGAAGGGCTGCTGGTCAAGCTCCAAAACAGCTTCTCCAAAGCATGTTTGCAGACCCCTAGTCCGGTGAAGCAACCCTTAGCCAGCCTCCGTGTTTGAGAAGGCCTCCAAAACATGTTCTGCTCAGAAGTTCATGCTCACCAACACTGTGAAGCTCCAAAACCTTCAGTGTATACCCCCCATGTAATCTGGAGGTGCTCAAACCCATTTTGTCTCCAGCCCACATATCTACTCCTACATGGACACAACACATCTTTCTTGATTTTCACGTATTAACATACTGGAACTCGGGTTTTGTTTTAGTTTTTCAGGGTTGGTGGTTGAACACGGCACTTGCCACCTACCATTGAAGTATATCCCCAGGGCTCAGATTTCTGAGGCAGGAGTTTCCTGTGTAGCTCAAGTTGGCTTTAAGTCCACAGTTCTCTAGCTCCCACCTCTGGAGTACTGAGATACATGTGTGCACCACCATGCCTGACTAGAAAATATTTTCCTGAAATATATTAGTTAAAACGATAATAGTATTTTTTCTTTCCCGTAAAATAAACTGTGAGTACATTGTGCTGAAGAAGAGATCACTGTCCAGAAAGAATATAAAGAAAATTAGATATCATTTAGAGTCTTTTTTTTTTTTAAGGTAGCGCCCTGAGCTTCTCACAGATTCTTCTGGGATCTCTGCTTGGACCCTGAGGATTGTGGGCTATCAGGGAAGTGACTTTGGCAGCCTGAGCTGCAGGAGTACTTTCTTGTCAGGATACCTCCCTCCTTTTGCCAGATGGTAAATAGCCTTCCCACAGAAGTGGGGATGGAGGCCATGAGAAGGTAGCCAAAAATCAAAGAGCAGATGAAAGTTCCAGATGCCTCTGTTGAATGAGTTCAAGATTTTTTTTTTGCCTCACTTCCTGTAGGAAGTGACAGTTTGCCCCAACTGGCCTGTGGCAGGATGAGATAAAGGGTGAGTTTATAAGCCCTCATTTACCGTGGTTAGAACAAAATCTCCCTGACGCTATTTCAGTGTCATGGAAAATCACAGCCCACTTTATTTGCCAGTGATCAACTCTGACCTACTTTCGGGCATTACTGAGAAATTCCTTGATAAGTGTGTTGGCTTGTAGTCCCCCTTCTCCCCAACTCCTCCCCTAGACAGGTGTAAATTGCTAGGACCTTGAAAAGGGGCATGCCACCCAAGTGCTGAGATGTAGAGAATTATCAGTGGAGAATGAAATCTCCTGGAGAGTAAAAGGAAATTACCTTTTGCTAGATTTCAAAATGCATTTCAAGATCGCTGACTCAGAAAACTCAAATCAAACATTTTTTGCATACATGTTTTAAATTCAAGCACTGCGAGCTCTGTTCTTGTTGCATTATAAAGATAGGAGTGGACACTAGTCTGCATTGTGCACCTGTGTGTGTAAGAAGACTTTGTTATGGATATCAGGGACACGAAGGTGGCCAATTCTTAGGGACTTAACAGTGTAAGATGAGAGTTGTAAAGGGCTTCTGCAAGTCCAGGGACCTGGGTTCAGTCTCCAGAGCCCACATTTAAACTGTTAGGTGCAATGCCGTGGTCTTGTAACCTAAAAGTTGGGGAGACAGAGGAGTCCTGGGTTTCTTGGCCAACAGCCTACAAAGTCTGAGAGTCCCAGGTCTCAGTGAGAGAGCATCTCTCAGAAAATAATGTAAGGCTAATAAGATAGTTTAGGGGGTAAAGGCTCATACCCCAAGCTTCATGACCTGTGTTTGATCCCTGGGATTCACATGATAGAAGGTGAGAACTGACTCATACAAGCTGTACTCTGACTGTCACACCTGCTACACACACACACACACACACACACACACACACACACACACACTCACACACACACACACACAATGCCTGCTGCCTTCAAGAAATTCCCAGTCATGTCTATGTATGTGTATGGTGTATGTGCACATGTGCAAGGGTCTGTGCCTTTTTCACAGAAGCCAGAGGAGAAGGTCGCTTGTCCTGGTCCATCACTCTCTGCTTCATTCCTTTGAGGCTGAGTCTCTTCTTGATCCTGAAGCTGGACTGGTGGTCAAACCCATGAAGCTTAGTCTTTATTCCAAGATATAATAATAATAATAATAAATGTATAGTACACTTGAAATTTTCAATTATAGTCCATACTATTAATGCCTTCATCATTATCAGAATGGCCACTGAGCACTTTCAAGCAAAGACACACTCAAAAGAGAATCCTGCAGGTGAGTTCCCCAAGAGTAAGCCTAAGGAGCCAAGTGAAATGCTTGCCTGGCCTTTTTAAATATAAAAATTGCTCTTTTTTTGCTTTGCTGAGTCCCACTTTTTTTTCTTTCTGCTACTTGAATTTCAGACGGACTGTCCCTAGCAGATTCTTCTCACAGATAGCATTTCTGGCTATGGTTCCGTGACTTCCATGTACATTGGCAGCCATGAGAAATACAGGGATACGTTGGCTTGAAATTGGATTTTTAACTGGCTGTGGCTTTGAGCTTTCATCATATGTAAATTAAGAAAGAAAGAACTCTATCTTCCCACTAGTTGAATGTGACACATATATCTAACACAAATGTTGGTTTTCCACCATTATTTTTGTTTAGGTGGCAGATTGCCAGTAAGAGCGAATGCAGTGCCCAGTGTGGTTTGGGATACCGCACTTTAGACATCTACTGTGCCAAATACAGCAGGCTGGATGGGAAGTCTGAAAGGGTTGATGACGCTTTTTGTAGCAGTCAACCCAAACCAAGCAACCAGGAAAAATGCTCAGGAGAATGTAACACAGGTGGATGGCGCTATTCAGCTTGGACAGAAGTAAGTTGGTTCTCGCTCTGAGTCTTAGATACTAAATCCAATGAGTTGATGGTGGCTCCTTCTAGGGTTGTGTTAAGAAACCCATTTAAGCTGTATGGAAAAGAGAACTGTGATTGATTTATAATGCCTGGCCAAGTCAAGCTCTGCAAGAAAGAATCCCAAGTTTAAATTGCAATGTCTGACTCACGTATAATATGCAGAAAATTGTTCGTGGTAAAGCTAATCAGCCAGCCATTTTTACATCCTAATTTTAGTGTCAATTTGCCAGTGAGACTATATTGACTTCAGTATAAACCTAAGCATTGAAAGAGAATCTCCCAAATAAAAACTAGAATCAGCTCTGGTAGGATATTTGTCTCTTAAGGGTTGAAAGAAACAGTACAGTCATGATTTTAAGCACATTTTATAAGAAACTCAGAAATGCCCTGTTTTGTTAATTTTTTTATGCTCATAGTGTTCTAAAAGCTGTGATAGTGGTACCCAGAGAAGAAGAGCTATCTGTGTCAACACCCGAAATGACGTCCTGGATGATGACAAATGCGCACATCAGGAGAAAATTGTCATACAGAGATGCAATGAGTTCTCTTGTCCTCATTGGAGATCAGGGGACTGGTCAGAGGTGAGGAGGGCAAGTGCTGGTCCCCAGGTCGGCCCAAATGATTCAGTTCTGGATCTCTCAGGGTTCAGGGTAGGTGTAGACTGCAGGGGAAGCAAGGAATAATTCTCCACTTACAATATGATTGTCCACCAGGACTTCAAAGTCACTGGGGGTTTGGCTGACTATCACAGCCCAGTAGCTTCAGCTGCTGACTTTGAAGTAATGGTTCCTCCCCTCCTCCCTCTTTGAGCTGCAAGTTGTTGGCTGGAAATTAAGTGTGAGGTTCAAACTGTTGAGACATGAGTCCAGCAATGAGGATTTCCATCTTCCTTGTCTTTGAAGTAAGAAAATTAGTTGTGAATGGGCCACCTGACTTACACATCCAGGCACTTGTGGGAAAGAGGAAGAGACCGGGCTGAGTGTTCCAGAATGATGCCTTCTTGTCCCTGGCTTGATGAAGCCCAGGCAATGCTGCCTGTGTTTGTCTCCCGGTCTTTGGATGCTGCATCCATCCTCTTTATTAATGTAGCCCAGCATTGTCACAGTCCAGTGAGATTCTCAGCAAGATGAAGCCTCGCTCCATCTCCTTCAGGGCATACAAGTAGTTGAGGAATAGATGTCCCTTATTAACTGTCAGGGATGTGGTGGAGCAAAGTTTCTACAACCACAGCCCCTGCATGCAAACCCTGGCCTCCCTCATGTGAGTTTACTTCTGCTGTCAGAAATAACCGTCATGCTCCTGGAATGGTGAAGCAGCAGTGTGTATCTTCACCTGTGTCTGCTTTGTGAGCAAATGAGCAACAAATCTAATGTTTTCCCAGCAGGCAGTGGGCTGAGCGCTAAATCCTTGATTTTAAAAAATATGACAGAAAACGGTGCTGTCACATTGTACTTAGATAACTAATACTAATTAAAGTGTAATTGTAAATGAATAGCCAAATGTGGTGGCACATGCCTGTAATTCTACCCTTGGGAGTTCAGGAGTTTAATACCACCCTTGGCTGTGTGTAATGTAGTGATTTAAGACTTCGTTAGCCTGAGCTACATGAGATCCTTTTCTAAAATAAAATAAAAAGGAGTGGAGGGGAAACTTTTGCAGCAAGACTTGGCTAAACAAGTGTTGGAATCACACTGAACACACAGCTTGACTATCTCAGCACTCAGTTCACACCCAAGGAAAGGAAAGAGTAGACTTGAAAATACTTTCGATTAGTTTAACCTTGTCTCTTATGTGCTTCATGAAAGTTTAAATTTTCCAAAATGAGCACAAATAATACTGAAGATTATATTTAACAACGTTTCTTTCCCGAGAATGCCGTACATGTTTACTGTATGTGCTAGACACTTCAGTTTCTCTGAGTCAGAATTATGGTTATCCCCATTTTACAGATGGAAGTACTGAGTCACAGACACATTGTGAGTTGGTTATAGAGGTGTACAAGTTGATCGGGCTTTTAGTGCTTCACACCGAACCTCTGTGTTGGAAAATCCTAACTATCCGTCTCCCAGAGGATGGCGCTCTGATGAGCTCCTGTGTTCGAATCTGGAGGAATGGGAGCAGCTAGTGGGGGCAAATATGAGCAAAGCATGATGGTGTATATGCGTGAAAATGTCATAATGGAGTGCAGTAAGAATCCAGAAAGAAACAGGCTGAGGGTGTGGCTCAGTGGGCAGAGCACTTGCCTCCCAGGCACAAAGCCCTGGGTTGGATCCCTGCAGCACATAAAACAGTTAGTGAGCACCCCTGCAATGACAAGGAGTGGGCACTAGAGGCGGGAGGATAGGAATGGCCTGTCCCCCTCAGTCACAAAGCGCACTGGAGGCCAGCCTGGGCTCTGCGAGGCGCTGCCAGGGTGAAACGGGAAAGGGGAAAGAAGACAGAGAAAGGATGAACGGAAGCGGAGAAAGCTGGGTGTTTTTACTACCCAGCAGTGGAGCGAGGCTGAGTACAGGAAGGGGCCACCTGTTCTCATTAGAGAACAGCCCCCAAGGGCCCCAACGCATTGATCAGAAACAACCCTGACCGCCTCTGCTTTTCATTCCAGTGCTTGGTCACCTGTGGAAAAGGACATAAGCACCGCCAGGTCTGGTGTCAGTTTGGCGAAGATCGATTAAGTGATAGAATGTGTGACCCTGAGGTCAAGCCAGAGTCCATGCAGACTTGTCAGCAGCCAGAGTGTGCGGCCTGGCAGGCAGGTCCCTGGGGACAGGTATTTTGAATGATAAGATTCTTAACTGCATTCTTTCCCACTTATCTGGAGAGGGGCATTCCAGTGGCGGGGTTTCACCACCATGCTGTGTAGCTTGGCTTGAACTGTACCTCTGTGACTCTGAGTTCAGCACGTGGAACTCAGCAGCCTGCAATCCTGCAGTGCAGCCAGGGTTACCTTGCTCGGCTGGAGCTGATCACTCCAGTTACAACCCCCCTCCCCGTGCCCCCCCTACCCCCCCCCCCAATGTGCAGGTTTTCGCCCTGTTCTAAACTGCACACAAGTATTTAAACAAATTCACAACAGACGTGGCATCTGGCAGATGTAATCCTCCCTGGAGTGAGTCTCTATGGGTATGTGATCCTGTCTGCCAGCTGATTTGGAGCAGAGGGTCTGGGCCGGGCTTTGGAAGGGCTATTTTGGCTTTCAAGATAAGGAATCCAAAACTCAACTCTCGTAAATAAGTGAGATTCTTCAAATGTAGTTGGTTAGATCAAAGGGGTCTGGAACCATAATCATCAGGTTGAGAATCTTTTCCCAGTCTTCTAGAGTATAATAGGTTCTGCTGCCTTAGACTTCTACCATTTCAAAAGGAGAGAGTGCAGTGTCCCCTGGGCCCAGTTTGCTCTTGGAATCCAGTCTTTCCTAATATAGAAGCAGGAGAGTGCTGTGTACTATTTAAGCAGCACTCCAAGTTCCCCGTAGAAGTGGAACAGCTGTCTGCTGTCACTTATGCAATCTGCTGAAGAATGACTCCCTCCACCCTGACCAGCCATGGCCACTCCTGCTCTTTAGCCTCTGTCTCCATTTCCAAATTTGCAGGCAGTACGCAGGCAGCTTTACAACCACGGCTGGGGCTTCCTCATTCTTACTGATAGTAGTTTTAAAATGTATCTTACTACGTTTTTAACATTTAGTGTATGGGTAGGTGTTAAAGAGAGAAAGTGTGTGTGTTCCATAGGGTGCTTGTGGAAGTTAGAGTACAAATTACAGGGTGAATTCCTCACCACGTGGGGTCTAAGGATTCGACTCAGGTCTGACACTTGAAGGCAAGCACCTTTACCCTCTGAGTCATTTTCAGAACCTATATTGACACTTTTCTGCTAGAATCTTCTGCTTCTGCTGCCAGTCCAGGGGCAAGTCATGTCTGAAGAAGAGCCCTTTTATCCTCTCCATAGTGCTTCCTACTTGTCCAAATCTACAGTTTCAAGCCTAATGAAAGGGTGTTAGCACAAGGATTTAGTCAAGACCTGACTGTCACATCTCCTATAACTGGTAGACCAGTCCATCCATCTCTCATCTGTCTTGCAAGTGATTTGGCCTTTCTTTAACTGATCATGCAACTTAGGCAAACACTTAGTTTTAAAAAAAGAGTCATAAATATTCACATGAAAAAAAAACTTCCCAAGTATGTGACAGCAAAGAGAAGAAATAAAACAGCTGACTGTGCAGAGCATTTTTTTGGTTTTCGTTGCTGTTGTTTTTATTTGATTTTTTGGTTTTTTTTTTTTGGTTTTTTTTTTTTTTTTTTTTTTACAATTTTAAACCTGGAACTGTACCCTGCCTGTATTCTTTTGCTTGAGCAGAAACATGCAGAACATACAATTGACTGCTTAAAAGGGAACAAATCAGTGGTATTCATTATATTGAAGTGTTATGACCTCGCTCTACTTTCAAACTATTTCTAGCACCCCTAAAGAAACCCCGTCCCCAATTCCCTAGCTTCTAGCAGCCATCATTTGCATTCTGGGTCTGTGGATTTGCATGTGCTGGACTTTTCATAAGAGTGGGCAGCTGTATGTAACACATGAACTCTGTGGCTGGCTTCATTCATAATGCATGAAGCTTTTCACACCATCCTGCACAGTGGCATGTAACCAGCACTCCTTCCTTTTGATTTGTGAATCATATTCCACTGTGGGAATAAGCATTTAAGATGGATATTTGGGTTCTTTTCACATTTTGGCTACTATGAATTTTTCTGGCATAAATGAACAAGTATTTATTTTAGTGCCTAATGCCACTTATTTGGAATCTATTACCCAGAGATATAATTACTGGCTTCTATAGTAATTCTGTGTTTAGGCTTTTAACTTCCAAGTGACTTTCCATGGAGGCTGTAGCATTTTCCATCCCTCCCAGCAATATATAAGCAATATACAATTTCACCATGTCATTGTCAACAGCTACTATTTACCATTTTTGAAATTGTAGCCCTCCTATTGAGTGCAAAGTGCTATCTCACTATGGTTTCTAATTATATTCCTCTAATAGAAAAAAGATGCTGAGCAATTTGCCATGTGTTTGTTACCATTTGAATATCTTCTTTAGAGAAATGTCTATTCAAACTGCTTGTCCATTTAAAAAGACTATAATTCATCCCATTGGACCTGGGACTGTAGATCTATAGGTAAAGTGCTTACCTTGCACAAAGTCCTGGATTCCATCCCTATATCACCTATCATTTCAGGAGATGGAGGTAGGGGGATCAGAAGTTCATGGTCAACCTTGATAATCACAGACAGTGTAGGGCTAGCCTGAGCTACATGAAACTCTGTCCAAAAGAAGGAGGGCGATCAAACAAACAAACCTCTAAACCACTTTAAAATGTACCTTTTCCCATTTTTTACATGGTATACTTGGTATCACTCCTTTTCCTAGTCTTATCCAATTGCTTAAAGGGCATGAAGTTGTGAATGATGCTGTGTGAGTTCCGCATGTGTCCTAGTTACCGATTTTTAAAAATCAGATATGTCGTTTACAAATACTTTCTACCATCTCATTCATTGCCTTTTTATTCTGTTGATCACGTCCTTTGATTGACAGATGGCTTTTCATTCTAATGGAGTGTAATTTATTTATTCTTTTCATTGTCTTTGCTTGTTTCATACTAAACAAATGGTTGTCAAATACAATATCACAAATGCCCTTTTTATTTTTAGAGTTGACTAGCTGGAGATACTGGCTTTAGGCAATTCATGTATTGCTAATTTTTTTGTGTATATGAAGTGGAAGTCTGGCTTCACACATGTGGCTAAACAGCTGTCTCTGCACTATTTGTTGAATAGACATTCTTTCTCCTTTAAGAGTATTGGCACACCTGTCAAAAATCACTTGCGTAAAAATGAAGACTTGTTTTCCTGGGCTAAGAACTAGTCTGATGCCTGTCTTTATGCCAGAATAAAACCATTTCAGTCCCTTTCAAATTTTTTGAGATTGGAAAATATTAGTCAAATTTCTTCTTTTTCTATATGTGTTGGCACTTGGAATCTCTTACATGTACTTAAAGCTAAGCTTTTCCATTCTTCACAAAGGTCATGTGATTTTTTTTCATTGGGTTTGAATGGACTCTGGATCAGTTTGGAGAATATTGGCATTTTTAGCCATATTTTACAGTAACTAAGTAATCTTTCAATTTCTTTGGGCCTTCTAATTTCTTTTGCACTCCTCTACAGACTTTATTGTAAAAGTTTTTCACATTTATGATTACTATTTTTCCTTGTTTTTTATTCTTTGGGATTTTACTATAAATGCGCTTACTTTCTTAATTTTCCTTTTGCTTATTTTTGAGAATGTATAGAAACACATCTGATTTTTCTATTGTTATTATTACTTAGTTGGTGTTCTGAAACTGCTGGATTTGAGTGTTAATTATAGTGAGTTCTCGCAGATTCTTTGGCATGTCTGTGTATGTTGTGGTAACCCCTGCAGATAGGCCAGCCCTGGCTTCACTTTCTCTCCAATCTGCCTTTTGTCTCTCTTTGTTTTTTGTCTCTGGCTAGACCTCCAGTGTTCTCAGAATAGCAAAGTGATAGGAAACATCCCTTTCACATTACTGGCCTCAGGAGAAAGACTCTCATTGAGTATGAAACACACAAAGGGAGCTTTTAGGTACTTTTCACCATGCTGAGGAAGTGTCCTCTTATTTGTTTTTTGGGTACATTTGCATGAAAGGTTTTTTTGTTTTGTTTTGCTTTTGTTTTAATTTTGCCAACTAACAACTTTTTATCAGTTGATGTGATGATAGGTCTTTTCAGATATTTTTTCTTTCTGTTTTATCTACTTATATGAATTATTATTTTAAATCACAAGCCAGCCTTGAATTCCCGTTGTAAATCCCACATGACTGTGACCCATACTATGTCACGGGGTTTTATTGCTAGTGTTGTCTTGAAAGGTTTTGCATCTTTATTTACAAGAGATATTTGTCTGTATTCTTCCCTCTTGCTTTTGATATTAAGATAGATAATGCTGGCCCTGTAGGATAAATTCTCAAGAAATAATTAAAAGTTGCATCAATATTCTCGCCTAGACTGCTCTTCGCAGTATTTTTTTTTTTTTTTTTGTAAGAGACAAGATAGGGCCAGGCAGTGGTGGCACATGCCTTTAATCCCAGCACTCGGGAGGCAAAGGCAGGCAGATTTCTGTGAGTTCGAGGCCGGGCTGGACTTACAGCCTCCAAAACAATACAAAGAAACCCTGTCTTGTAAAAACCAAAGAGAGAGAGAGAGAGAGAGAGAGAGAGAGAGAGAGAGAGAGAGAGAGTGAGAGAAAGAGAAGATATTTGGTTCTTGCATATTTAGGTGCTGATCTTCTGGAAACTGATCCCTCCTCAATATTTTATAAGTGTTTGAAAAGGACTGATGTTAACCTTTCTTTAAATATTTAGTAACATTTACTTGGACTTTATTGGGAATTTTTATGCCTATCTTTTTGTAGCTATATTCATATATTTATTTCTTCTCTCTCTTTCTTTTGGTAATGGGAATTGAACCTAGGACCTCATGCATGCCAATCATGTACTTCCCACTGAACTATACCTCCTGTCCTCTGTTGTTTTGTTTTATTCTGTAACTCATTCTTCTCTGGGGTTTAGCCTGGTCTTCCTTTTTTTTCTCAAGATACAAAGTTAGGTTACTTTTTATTTCTTTTAATTTATTCTTTGAGACTTTTTTATTGCATTGGAGCCTGTCCTGGAACTGGCTCTGTAGACCATGCTGGCCTCAAACTCACAGAGAACCTCTTGTCTCTGTCTCCTGAGTGCTAGGATTAAAGGTGTGTGCTACCAAAACCCAACATACTTTGAGAATTTTATACAGTATATTTTTCCTCAAATTCTTTCCCATCCTTCAACTCCTAAAAAACCCTCCCGATCTCCTACCCACCCAACTTCATATTCTTTCTCTTACAAAAAATAAAAAGGAAGAAAGAGGGGGAGGAAGAGAGGGAAAAAGGAGGGATGGGGAGGGAGAGAAAAGAAGGGAAAGGAAAGGAGAGGAGAGGGGAGAAGAGGAGAGGAGAGCAAAGGAAAGGAAAGGGCCATTAAAAACCATGGAGTCTAATTCCTGTTTGTCATCTACTCCTGAGTATGGAACCTGCCTTGGAGTTCAATTGATATACTAGTGTCACTCCATTGAAGAAAACTGAACTCAAAGTCAGCACATAGTAGGGGACAATACCCCAACTAGACACCAAGTGCTACTAAAAAAAAATCCCAGTACTAGGAATGGGTTATATCTTTTTGAGTCATTGGCCAAAGGAGTCCCAAAGATGTTCCCCACCAATACTACAGACTGTTGTCAATGATACTGGCTAGCCCCCCGCGTCTTGATGATAAGCTCCTATTGCTAAAGTTTGGCTATTGAAGTCTTTCTTCTTAAATTATATAGCCATTTGCAGTGATAAGTTTCCTGAAGAGCACTGCTTTCACCATGCCTCCCAGTTCCCTACTGTCTCTTTCATCTTTCTCTCCAGTGTGGTTTATTTTTTTTTTGCGAGACAGGGTTTCTCTGTATTATTTTGGAGGCTGTCGGTCCAGCCTGGCCTCGAACTCACAGATTCGCCTGCCTCTGCCTCCGGAGTGCTGGGATTAAAGGCCTGCGCCACCACCGCCCTGCAGTGTTTTCTAACTTCTCTGTGATTCTTTTCTCTGACACATTGCTTAAGAATTTATCAGTTCCCACAATTGCATCTGTTATTGCCCATTCTATTGTTGTCAGAGAAGATATGTTACCATGTTATCTTTTAGATGATGTTATCATTTAGATGCACTGATACTTATTGAGTGGCCGGGTTTTGTGGCCTGTATTGAAACAACGTCTCATGTGCATTGAGGTGAAGGGACAATATGGTTGGAAGAGCAAAAGTGACCTGCTACTTTGTTACCAATTTGGAAGTTTCTTACTGCAAGGTTTATATCGATATTCGATGCTATATAGGGAAAACAATATATTTATTTACCAGAGAGAGAGGGAGAGAGTCGCACTGATCAGGAGTTAGAAGCGTGGCTGGCTTCCAGGAGAAAAAGGGAAGCCCCTTTTCCTTTCACTTCCTTTTATCTCTACCTTGACCCCGCCCTGATGGGCGGATAGATTTATGGGGTTCACTCCTACAAAGGTTTAAAAGTTGCTGTCATTAAATCTCCAGCGCCATGAACAACAGAACTTTAGTAGCTGTTGCTGGCTTAGTGCACTCTTCAGTGTAGGGACTGATTCTACATCTTCTGCTGTCTTCCCCATAATGCCTCCATCCCCATGCCTTTTCTTGGCCTGGAATTCTGGCAGTGGGCCTTGCAGCAGCTCTATTGATCTCGTGTGCTGTGATATATTTAACTGTTGCATATCTTGTCTCTTTCTTATAAATGATGCTGCAAAGAGTGTCCTATGCGGAAACATTGGTTCAACTTTCAATTATTTCCTGAGAATTCTTTTCCAGAAATCAAAGGTCACAGAGGTTTACTAAACACCTGTGCTAACCAGGATAATGGAGTAGGTAGAGTGTGGGGTGTTTGAAAACTATAGATATACCCCTTTCCCTGATAGTGCTCACAGTCAAGTGTAATTCTAGTAAGAGACAGAAATAATTCTAAATGTCATTATAATAATGGACCAGTGTAAATTGCATGATTCAGGATTGCATAGTTTTACCTAATTTCTGGGTGTCAGCCCTCAGGTCCACTCTGATACAAGGACTTTTCTCTTACAGAATATTAAGGGATGAGTACATGAAAGAAAAGGTTTGGTGAAATTTTTGTTTTATTCCTTCCCCCAGTGCAGTGTCACTTGTGGACAGGGATACCAACTAAGGGCAGTGAAGTGCGTCATTGGGACTTACATGTCAGTGGTAGATGACAGTGCCTGTAATGCAGCAACTAGGCCTACCGATACTCAGGTGAGTCTCCCATTTCAACTTAGTTATTGGCTTTGGGCAGGGAAGGGTCAAAACATCGCACTGGTTGAGACCAGACCAAAGCATTTTCCTAGAGAAATCCATACATAGCACACCTGGGGAATTAAATTACTTATTTTCTTCATTTAGAATCTAACTTTTTTCTGGCTTTGTCTTTTTTGTTTGTTGGTTGATTTGTTTAAGTACCTGTAGGTTAGAGTTTCATTCTCATTGGCCAGCAAATATTAGTCAGTCTTATCCTGAACTTGGCTGTCTCACATTATTTATTTGAAGACTCCAATAGTTCAGACATAAGTACAAGAAGTGTTCTGCTCAAGCTAGTTTGGAGCAGCTCTCAAGACCCAACAGCAAATTTCAGAGAGGCCTGGTGAGCTGGAGGCTACATATGGCTACTCTTAAAAGTAGAAAACACTGGGGGGGAGGAGGGCTGATAAATCCCCGAAACTCACCACTTAGTATTTTACTTGATGTCGAAGTTGCCTATGCTCACAAGGTCTCTGACACCTGTATGTGTCTATGGTGTACTGCTGAGTGTGTCTCCTCAGCACTGTTATCAAGGTCATGCTAAAGATAGATTTGAGCCAAGAATGTACTCAGAACTCATGTTTTGAGGAAAACCTTACACAGCCAACCAATCAACTGCCTCCATGCAGGGCACCCTCGGTTGGGTTCATTTCACCATGTGTCACTTGTGTATAAAGAATCACAAAGGACGAATATGGTGATGGAGATCATATTATTCTTGCTGATCCATTAAACTGGCAAATGCTATACCTTAAAAACTTTGTTTTTATAATTTTATTAAAATGTTCAAATGACATGGTGGTGGGTACAGGGAATTGGCTTAGTTTGGCAAATTCTTGCTTCACAATCATGAGAACTTGAGTTCAGTTCCCTGTATCCCTGTAAAAGCTGGCTATGGTGCTCTGTATCTGTAACCCTGAGGTAGGAGGCAGAGATGGGTATATCCCTGGAACTCATGGGCCAGCAAGCATAGACAATCAGTGAACTTCACATTGTGTGAGAGATTCTGTCTCTACAATTAAGGTACAGAGTGATTAAGGAAAACAGCCAATAAACACCTTCTGGCCTCCACATGCTCTCTGACTCTGTCTCTGTCTCCGTCTCTCCTTCCTTCCCTCTCCCTCCCTCCCTCTCTCTTCTCTTCTCTTCTCTTCTCTTCTCTTCTCTTCTCTTCTCTTCTCTTCTCTTCTCTTCTCTTCTCTTCTCTCTCTCTCTCTCTCTCTCTCTCACACACACACACACACACCATGTGGTCATGTGGTCATTAGTCCCAAGAGACTGTCAGTCCTTATATCAAGTGAAAACTTAGCAATTTCCTTAGAGATTCAAAACAGGATTTCTCACTCTCATTCTAGAGTGTTCACTTGTCCATAGACTCCCATGGCTGAAGTCTATGGAAAAATTATTTGCTTTTCACAGAAGTCCCCTTTGGAGCACAGACAAAGGAAAAGGCAAGGCATGGTGCCAGGTAGTAGAATTTTCATGCCATATGTTAAGTTTTCAGGCAGTGACCTTCAGTCTCAGGACACAGCACGTTTGCTCCAGGTCAGCTGACTCTTAGGCCTTTGATAACTATGTATCAAATCAGGGATGGGGGGGGCAGCTCCTGAGGTTGAGAGTGATTATAAACAGGTGTGCTCTTTTCTTCTCCACTCTGTAAATAAGAGACTAGTGTCCTTCCATAGATGACTGAGTTCACTACAGCAAGTCTCTCTGAATGATTGAGGGGCATTATGTGAATTCCAACCATTGGCCTGCAGAAAATTCCTTTTATATTAAAGGTTGACCTTCAGAACCCTGGGTGTTATCTTTAGGTGCCCTGGGAAAACAAGTTCATGATTAGCAAATTTTGATTAGGAAACTACCTGAAATGTGAGAACACAATTTAGCCTTGAGAAGTTTTAAACATTAATAGTTAATAATTCATAAATGTTATTCTGTTCTTTCCAGACATGCGCACTCCTTCACAATGTTCCCTCCCTTTTTCTATGAGCAGGTGAATAAACACAGCTCTAACCATCATTTAGTAGACCCTGCCCTGTGTTAAGGCATCCAGAAAATGATTCAGACTGTATCCCTCTTTGCCATTGAAGAGTCTGGGGCTAAGAGAGGTCATGGGACTTGTCAAAACAGGCAGAAATCAGAGTACTTAGATTTCTTGTTGCCGTGTGCTTTCTTACCAAGACTGTGTATCTATGAACGTACGTTGCCTTGAAGGTAAATGTTTTCTCCTTCCACATCTAGGACTGTGAATTATCATCTTGTTACCGTCCCCTACCAGGTGTGGAACCAAGGAGAAGCACACACAGTGTGCCCAGAACCCAGTGGCGATTTGGCTCCTGGACTCCAGTAAGAAACAGACTAGGAGTAAAGTGGGGAGGTGTGCCAAGGAGGCAGCTATTCTCTGGCATGACTATAGAAAGGGGGCTAAGAACTGATAGGAAACTGGGCTAAGTGAAAAACACTAAGCAGCCATTCATTCCAAATGACATGTCTGTGTCCTTTCACTCCAACACCCAGTGCTCAGCCACTTGTGGAAAAGGTACCCGGATGAGATATGTCAGTTGTCGGGATGAGGATGGTTCTGTGGCGGATGAGAGTGCCTGTGCTACCTTACCTAAACCAGTAGCCAAGGAAGAATGTTCTGTGACACCCTGTGGACGGTGGAAGGCTCTAGACTGGAGCTCTGTAAGCCTGGATTTTGTGGGGTTGGGTAGGATTGGAAGATGGGGGAGGATATGATAAATGGATTATATTTCAGAGTTGGGCTTGAGATTTAAATTATCCTGTTCCATATATATGTTCCTAGCTAAGTCTAAAAGAAATCTTAGTCAATTGTGCAAGGAATGCATATTTTAAAAATATCTAAATCAATGTACTGTCTGTTTGAGTACCTGTCCTGCTGGGCTGATTGCAAAGCTCAACCTGAAGAGCTTCGCCAGTCTGTAGCAGACTCACATGGCCCAAATAGTGGCAAGGAGAGGAAGAGAGCTGAGGTTCTCTGACTCTGAGTCTGATTGCTCATGCATCTGTGACCCTCAAAGGCAGGTGTCCCTTGATTCCCTTTCAGGGCTGCCATGGGGACTTCTCAGTGTTGCGAGTAGCACAGTGACAGTGCCACAAGCCCAGTCTTCTAAGCATACAAGCACCATCTGTTTGGGCTTTTATAAAAGCAAATGAAATGTCTCTTCAGGCAACCTCTGTTATCAGATCTTCCTCACGTCCAGAATCTAGGAAGTAGTTTAGGTTAGGCGAACAGGGGGACTGAGGAAAAAGAAGATTAGTATTGTAGAAAATTTCAAAATATGTGCATGAGACATGGAATCCCAAAGCTATGGAGAACCCCAGACATAGTCATTTATTGACCTGATGCTGAGCAAATTAAAGTCTTTGAATCTCATTTTCCCTCTGCTCTTAAAAGAGCGGGCTAAGGATATGGTTCAGTGCAAAGAGCACTCTGTGCCAGCATGAAGATCTGAGTTTAAATTCCCAGCGCCCATGTAAAAGCTGGGCTTGATGGACATGCTGTAAACTCAGTGCTGGGGAGCAGAGACAAACAGATCCCAGTGGATCCCCAGAGCTTGCTGGCTAGGCAGCCTCGCTGAAAACTGAGAACTTCTGGTTTATGAGAGACACTGTCCCCAGGGTATAAGACAAGGAACTATAGATGGACAACACTGGATATGCTCCTCTGGCCTATACAAACATGTACACACACACCATACAAATGCACATACACACATACACCTCATACAAATGCACATATAGGCACACAAGTAAAATTGGATAGGTGAATAAAATTAAACTTTAAAAAACAATGTTGAATGCTTAGCAGGAAAATAAGTAGTCAACAAATGATAAATAATCATGCTTTTATGCATGGAGTGGAGGAGAAAAACACAACACTATCTGTGACAGGATGCCCAGGATGCCCCTGAGTTAGGAGGTTCTTGGCTTGTTCCAGTAGCTTTAGGTGCAGCATATGGACAATGAGAGAGCAGCCAAGGAAGTAGCCAAAGGCTCCATAATCAAGGGCCTAGCAAATGAACAACAAGGAGTTTAGATGTTATTTTAAGTGAGCTAGGAAGTCACCAGATGGATGCATGAGTTAAGTGGTAATGGGTGGCATTTTGTCACTGGCAAACAACACATGTATAGGGAATGTCAAGTCCTAAGCAGAAGTCCAGCTGATAACTACACCATTAATCCTGGCGAGGGAAGGTTATGCCTTTCTTAGACAAGAGAAGTGAGGGTAGAAACAGTCATGGCTGGATCTGGGTGTATTTTGAATGCTACACTAGCAGCATTTCTTGGCAAAAGAGATATTGAACAGGAACAAAAGAAAGCAGTCAAGGATGATTTTAAGACTTAAGTTGGGCCCCTGGGAAAACATTCAACCACTTAAAAAACATGTACATGTGAATGTAAGTTGGACTCCCAAATGATAGCCACTTTCTCTTTCTGAATATTTAACACAGTGTTCCGTGACTTGTGGGCAAGGTAAGGCAACCCGCCAAGTGGTATGTGTCAACTACAGCGACTACGTGATTGATCGGAGTGAGTGTGACCCAGATTATATCCCAGAGACCGACCAGGACTGTTCCATGACACCATGTCCTCAATGGATCCCAAGCAGAGGCATTGTTCACCCATATCAAAACGAGGACTTCCATCCCAGGATTGACAGCCCTAGCCGCACCCACGTGCTTGGAGGAAACCAGTGGAGAACTGGCCCCTGGGGAGCGGTGAGTATCCACTTGGCCTGTTTCTCTCCTACTTGAGTTGCCTGGAGGAAAACAGACTAGGATTGCTTTGGAAGAAATTTTCCTTTGAAAGATTGTTGACACACATTTGCAGCCAAGCTGGGTGAACATGATGGCTTCAACTCAGTCCCAGAGAAGAGTTCCTTTGTAGTTGGAGGAGGGGGTGTCACTTCTGGTGACAAGACTTGCTGAACTGGGAGGGGCAGGCAGAGTATACCCCAAGGGGAAGGGGCAGAGAAACTTTTCTGAAGAAGAATTCTTTTTTCTTTCTTGCCCTTTTTAATGTTTATTTATTTGTCCATGTATGTGTGCCATGGCACGGTTGTGACCATTGGAAAGAGCTGGCTAGAGTTGGTTCTCTCCTTCCCCTGCGTGGACTCTGGGATTGATCTAGAGTTATCAGGCTTGACAGTGAGCACATTAACCCGATGAGCTATCTCCCAGACTGAAAGGGAGTTCTTAATGGAGGCAGGTGTCCTTTCCTCTGTAAGCCTCAGTTTCCTGGGCTGCAAAACAATGACAAGGTTACGTCTTGCTTTCTATAGTTTCACGAGTTAAATGAGATGGTTCCAAGAAAGTGCTCTGCGATTCTCCAGCTGCAGGATGGAGCCCAGAACTACCAACAGTGTCTTTATCACAGCCCTTGTTACTGTCCTTCCAACTACAACAGGCCTTGAAAAAGAATGTCAAAAGGAAAAACTGCATTTTGATGTTTTAGACTGTTGTTCTGGATAGCTTTTTCAAAACTACATTGTGAAATACTGAAACAGTTGGCATCCCAAAGGCAAAGGGTGACAACAGATTCTGGTAGCCACATGATTAGAGGGGGTATTTTGGCCACTCAGGGCTCTTGTTAGCTTACTTTTAGTGTCTTTCTCCAACTGCTAATTGTGTTAAATTATTTCTGGGCCAAAAGGAATTAGAAGTCTGTCGCTCCCCACAGTGAGTGTAAATGCAGTAGAACTGGTCTGTGAGTGCTGATTGGATTCGGTGTTTGGACCACTTGGTGTGGCTGTTGGCTTCCTGTGAGCCAGCCCTGTCACCTTCTCATCTCCTCCTCTCCTGTTTCCAACCAGTTTCCTAGGTAGGAAAGCTTCCAGTTCAAAAGACTGAAGGATGAGGAGGAGTGTGTGTCATGGTCTTTCCTGGTTGAAGAAAAATTCGTAATTCACATGTGTATATTTTGGTGAAAGTTTGTTGTTGTTGTTGTTTGGTTTAGTGGGGGGTTTTGTTTCATGGTTTAGTGCTATTTTCATTTAAATTCATTTATAGGTAAGATGTATTTGTTTCAAGTTGAATGATTCTGCCCTGAGATAGTCCCCAATCAAGGAGGGTTAGTTGAAGAAAGTTGCATTGCTTTGGAGACACGATGAGTATAAGCTTGCCAATTTCACAGCAAGGGTCATAATGGAGGATGCTAGAAAATGCACTAGGTTAAGAGGCAAAGAATGTATGGAAAGAGAAACACTCCACCTGTAGACTCATAGGAGAACTATGAGAAGTGTGTGTGGGAAACCAACTGAAATGCAAACAATCGCCATTCGAGAACATTCCACTGAAATGGGCTAGAGAGAGATTTGTGGTGATGGAATTCAATTGAGTTCATTGAGGAAGTGAAAAGCAAATAAAACACATCTTACTATCATCAGTCATTGAAATATAGGTTCTTGTAAACAGGGGATTATTCACCTACTAGGAAGTAATGTCTAAATGACATTCTGTGGGACGTTAGTAGAGTTATTGAATGAGTTGGTGTGGAAGTTCGATTTCCACAACTGGCCATTCATTAAGTATGAGTTAACCTCTGTGGTGAAGGAGACTCAAACATTGATTCCAAAGGAGCTCTTGACAATCTGAAAAAAACTGTGGTGTCCCTTGACACTTCTATCCCTCTCAGAAATGCAGACAAGTCACAGGTAGACAATGAACAGGACCACAGGGAACTCTAAAAACATTATCACTATTAGTGCTGAATACCTCCTGATGGCCTGGAGAATGGGAAGAGAAGCCCCGCACTATGATCCAGGCCTTTGTATGTGTGTACAAAGTGAACAACCCCACCTTGGGGAAGTGCCCAAGTGCCCAAACCCTCCCCACTGTGTATGAAGACCTGAAAGCCATCTCTGTCATGTCACTGACCTTTTAGCCGGCTGGCTTATGTCTGGGTAGGAGGCAGGTGATGCTGAGGATAAATCCACTGTTGTCTGTGCTTAGTGTTCTAGTACCTGTGCCGGAGGTTCCCAGAGGCGAGTTGTGGTGTGTCAGGATGAAAACGGATACCCTGCCAGTGACTGTGTAGAGAGAATCAAACCTGATGAGCAAAGAGCCTGTGAATCTGGCCCGTGTCCCCAATGGGCTTATGGCAGCTGGGGAGAGGTAAGAGCAAACTATTTGTCTATGTGTCCTTTATTGGCTGCCTGCTGTTGTTTAATATTTTATTTTTTGGACATAGATCTAGGAGGAGCTTCCAGATACAGGATTCCTTAGGAAACCTCTGTTCTACCCTGCTTCTTAAAGGCACTTATTACTAACAAGAGAAAGCTTGAATGTGTAGGGAATGCAGAATGACAAAAGATTGCATAAACCCAGGTCTAAGTTGTTTATTAGTAAACCTCTGATGATTGAGAAATTAATGCTTATAAGGATGGAAATCACACGAGAGTCTTGCCATTTATGTTACAGCTTCGGGTGCATTTGTTTCCATGGCAGATGTCTTCTAAGTTTTCAAATTCCCCATAAAAACAGAATGGGTGTTATTCCTATCACAGATGACATTAAATGAATAAGGAGGTGTATATGTTCCTGTTCTCCACTAGTGATTTCTTTGACTGTTAGCTTTGTAGAATTGCCCACTTTGCCTGACAAAGAGTAACATAGTGTTTGGAGTGCATAAAAACAGGCCCAACCAGACAGTGGTGGTGCACCTCTTTAATTGCAGCACTCAGGAGGCAGAGACAGGCAGATCTCTGTGGGTTAGAGGCCAGCCTGGTTCTACAGAGTGAGTACCAGGACAGGCTCCAAAGCTACACAGAGAAACCCTACCTCAAAAAAACAAAAACAAAAAAAAAAAAAAAGAAAAAAGTTCCATTGGTCCATTTCCTGACTCTGTGTGTATGTTATTTTGTTTGTTTTTGTTTGTTTTAAGATCGAATTACATCATTTTCTCTTTACTACAGGCCTTCCCATGCACCCCCTTGTTCTCTCTCAAATTCATGCTCTCTGTTTCATATATGTATGTAATGTTATGTAAATATGTTATGTAAATGTAACCTGTTTGCTCCATACATTGTTACTTATATGTGTATGATTTCAGGAATGACCACTTGCTATTGGATGACTAATTTGGGTGTTCTTCCCTGGAGAAGACTGTTTCTCCTGCTCTCAACAATCATTAGTTGCCTATAGTTCTTTGTCTAGGGTTGGAGTCCTGGGAGAGTTCCCTTCCATGTTAAGCATGTCTATTGGTGCCATCCTTGTTCAGAGCTTGTTCGGGCAGCCCCGTTGATGACTTCATACGTGTAGCTTCTCTGACAAAGATGAAATCTCACAGCAGTTCTTCTAACTGCTACAATCTTCATAGCTCCTCCACTCTGATCCCTGAGCCTTAGGTGCATGAGCTATGCTGTAGCTTTGTTAGCTAGGACTGGGTACCACACGGCCACTTGCTCTCCGCATTTTGATTGGCTGTGGCTTTCTGTAATGATTGCAAAGACCTATTTCTCTGATGGTGGGTGTAAGTTAAATATTTAGAATGAAGTTAGGAATTATGCTAGGGCCCAGAGACGTTGGCACATGCCTTTAATCCCAGCACTTGGGAGGCAGAGACAGGTGGATCTTAGTGAGTTCAAGGCCAACTTGGTCTACAAACATCGTTCCAGGACAGTCAGGGCTGTTACACCGAGAAAACCCTGTCTCAAAAACCAACAACAAAAAATCATGCTGGTTTAGTAAAGTAGTAGTTGTAGATACTCCTCCAAGACCACAAATTCATTAGCTTCAGGTAGTTGGCTATATTTTCAGTACCAAGCATTATTTCCCACTTATTGAACAGAACTTAAATCCAATTAGAGAGCTGCTGGCTACCACCAAGGTATGCATGACACTACTGCACCCTGAGGGATATTGTCATGCTGGATATTTTTTAGTAATAGGCATCATAGCTGGGTACAACTATTGGATAATTTCCTCATTTAGAAGCTTGCATAGCACCTTCTGGTACCATGAAACTAGTCCTCAGGGAGGATGCTTTGATGTCAAACCATCTCAGATCCTCTGGATCCTGTTTCTGAAGTACATGGTTCAGCAATGGTATTTACCTTCCGTCTCTGGGAAGCAACCAAGGGCAACAGCAATAGACTATTTTTTGAGAGTCTCTTGGAGAACTCCAACCAACACCTCAAAAGAAGGCTTCTCATGTCTGGTGTTGGGGTGCTGTTAGATAGCCCACAGCTCTTGGAGGAAGCATTGTGGGCCTAGACAATATATGTAACCATGTATGTATATGTATACACAGACTTATCAGTATTGTGTATAATGTTAGGTAGATAGATAATGCTGTGATTCCTTCTGACTTTTCCAGACATCGCTACTATTTTTCTTACCCTCCTCTCCACTTCTTTACCCACCTACCCTCACCCTAATTAAAGAATCCCCTTGGTTCCCATTCCCTCTTCAAATCAACTTGTACACTGTTATTCCCCTCTCTGTTGCTTCCCCCAAACCCCCTGGTCCCTTTTAAGAAATGCAGATGGGAAAGAACAAGTGACAGGCCTAGGCTACTTTTTTCAATATGACCTTTCCTAGTTCCATCCATTTACTGAAAATTTCATTATTTAGTTTTCCTTTACAGCTGAATGATATTCCATAGTATATATACCCCATGTCATCTGCTGTAGGTTGAAGGACTTTTAGGTCGTTTCAATTTCCTACCTATTATGAGTAGAGCTGCAATGAACACAACTGGGGAAATGTCTGAGGAGTAGGATATCCAGTCCTTTGGACATATGTCAAGGAGTGTATGGCTGAGTCATGTGGTGGATTAAGTTTTCTGAGGATTCTCCACACTGATTTCCATCTGGATCAGTTTGCAATCCCACCAACAGTGAGGGAGAATTCCCTTTCCCTCAAATCCCCTCCAGCCTTTGCTGTCACTTGGTTTATTGATCTTTGCCATCCTGACTGGGGTAAAATAAAATCTCACCATTGTTTTGATTTTCATTTATCTAATTGCTAGGGATGATGAAAACTTTTTGAGCTATTTCTTAGCCATTTTTTTCTTTCCTGTTTTAAGAACTCTGTTGAGATCCCAAACCTATTTTTTTAAGTGAGTCATTTTATTTTAACTTTTTGTTTTTGTGCATTGATTTCTTTGCGTAGTCTGGATATTAATTCTCTGTTGGATATATGGCTGGCAAAGATTCTTTCCCACTCTGGGATTCCTCTTCACGTTACTGGTTGCTTCCTTAGCTGTACAGAGCTTTTTAGTCTTATGAGATCTCACATGCCAATTGTTGGCCTCAATTACTGGGCAAATTGTGTCCTATTAGAAAGCTCTTCCTATATCCTATGCCTATTGCCTGTGTTTCTTCTAGTCATTTCCATGCTTTAGGTTTCACAATTAAGTCTTTGGCCCATGGGCTGGAGAGATGGCTCAGTGGCTAAGGCTAAGAACCCTGGTTGGTCTTCCAAAGTCCCTGAGTTCAATTCCCAGCAACCACATGATGGCTCACAACCATCTGTAATGAGATCTTATGTTCTCTTCTGGCATGCAGGGATACATGCATACAGAACAAGTGTGCACATAATAAATAATTTTAAAAAGTCTTTGGCTTATTTGGAGTTAGTTTCTTGTGCAAGATGATAAATATGGGTTTAATTTCATTTTCTTCATATGGACATCCAATTTCCCCACCACCATTTGTTGAAGATGCTTTCTTTTCTCATATATATACATATATTCTTTGTCAAATATTACATATTAGATGGCTATGATTAAGTGTATTCATATTTAGGCATTCAATTTTGTTCCATTGGCCCATATGTTTTTTTTTTTTTGCATCATTACTTCTGTCCTCATGAGTTTTGTTTCATTTTTTTTTATTTGAAACAAGCTGGAGTTATCTGAGAAAAGGAAATTGAGAACATGCCTTAAAAAGATTGTTTTGTAGGCAAGTGTGTAGGACATGTTCTTAATAGTAATTGATGTTGGAGGGCCCAACCCACTGTAAGTGGTACCATTCCTGGGCAGGTGGTCCTGGGCTACATAAGAAAGGAAGTTGAGTAAGCAATAGAGAGCAAGCCATGGCTTCTACGTTAGTTCCTGCCTCCAGGTTACTGCCCTGCATGAGTTCACAACCCGAGTTCCCTCATTGATGAGCTGTTACCAGGAAGTGTAATATGAAATGAACCCTTGTTGCTTTGGGTTATGGAGTTTTATCATAACAATAGGAAAACCTAAGGCAAGTATCATATTGTTTTGATGTGTGGTTCTGAAATATAACTTGAGGTCTAGAATGGTAATCTCTCTGGCATTGTTCTTTTTGCTAAGGATTGTGTTTGCTATCCAGAGTCTTTTTGTGGTAACAAGATTTTTTTTTTAATTTCTGTGAAGAATGAGATGGTGGTTTTGACTGGGATTGCATAGAATCTGTAAATAACTTTTGACAGGATGGTCATTTTCACAATACTAATTCTTTTCAGTCCATGAACATGGTGAGAGTATGTCTTCCACTTTCTAGTTTCTTTCCCTGTGTTCTCCTTCAGAGATTTAAAGTGCTCATTGTAGAGGTCCTTTACCTCCTGGTTAAGTTTAGTCCTAGGTATTTTATTTTCTTTGAGGCTACTGTGAGTGGAAGTGTGTCCATGATCTCTTCCTACATATGCCTGGAGTTTGATGGCCAAGCTGGGGTGCGACTATTCCAGGACACAGGATGTGGAACTTTGGCTATATCTGGGGAATCGAGGAGGGTGCATGGAGGGAAGGATCAGGCAGTCTCACCCAGCTAGATCCTGGTTCAGGATGTGCAGGATCTGGCTTGACCTAGCTATGAGCTTTATCATTTTCATGATATTAACAAGTAACATAAGTTAGTACAATTTTATACCATTATTCATAAACTGGAGTAGTAACAGTACCACCCGCATAACACTTATGACTAGTATATGAGACAGCATCCATTAAATGCCTAACATGTATCCTTCAATCAAGCAAGTGACACTGTAATAATGCAATAATAACTTACTTTACTAGTAGTAAGAATGACATGCATTAGTAGTAGTATTGGGCATTTTGAGTTCTTGTTATACTTTACAGCAAGATGTACGTGCATATTTATGCTACTCAAAATCTCTCTTGATGGTTGAATCTATAAGAAAAGCATACACTTAAGGCTCCCTGGGTTGTTCTGTCTTAACTCTTTACTAAATGAGGCCTGAAAACTAACACCTGGAAGACCAGAGCACCAAGAGGAAGAAAAAAGACATAAGAGATGATGGACTTATTAGTCCACATTCTGGTGTCTCATCATTTCACACACATAACCTGGAAGACAGGCCATTGACCCAGGAATTTTTTTGTTGATTTTCACTGATGTTCTGGGCAGTGATGCTGAGGGAAGGAGGGGGAGAGGAGCTTTGAGACTCCTATGACATGAGTCTTCCTAACCCTCTGTGCAGTTTTGTCCTGTGGGATCCATAATTAGGCTTCTGTAGTTGGATCCCAGCCAGGGTGAGTCCTCGCCTTTGCTGGGATGCTCTCTGTTATCACAGACTGACTGAGCTAAGTGCTGTGGGAGAGCCGGCCTTGGCGCAGCAGGGACACTGAATGTCTGTGTTCTTGGATATGAGTGCAACCGCACTGTCCAAGAAACACAACTTGTTCCTGTCTCACAAATGTGAATCCTTCCAGGAGTCAGAACTTCAGCTAGCACCCATTCCCACCATATTGTTTACTCATCCTAAGGGACAGTTGTACTTGTCCTGAGGTCTGAAGAGGGCTAAACAGCTGCGCATCACAATTGGAATAAGAGAATAGGCAAAGGTCCCTCCATGACAGCTTCGTAGAAGTTGCCGGAATGTGTGGGGTTGTGTAAAACTCGGTTCTTTGATTAAATCCTTGGCAGAATTTAAAAATAAAACGTGAAGTTGGGCCTGGCTACTCATATCTGTAATCCCAGCACCCAGGAGACTGAGACAGGAGGTCAGTCTAGATCACAGTGAGTTCCAGACTAGCCTAAACTGCATAGTGAAACTTTGTCTCCAAACAGAAACCAAGGAAACAAATTATCAACTACAATAAAATAAAATAAAATGGGCCAACTCTTTATCTCTTTTATTTGATATTGAGTAGTTTCCGGTTATTTATTTATTTACTGATTTTTTTATGCCTCCAAGAATGTTATGTTAGCTACTGGTTAATGGATCAAGATTGATTACATTAACTTCCCACACTTTGTTTTATACATGGGGCATGTAACTTGTTCTCACTCTGATGAGGTGAGCTACATAAAAGTCCTTATTACAGATATAAAAGAAGCCCTCACTGAGGAATACTTAATGTTCACAGGAACCATGGTCCATTGGCTGTATCATTGTTGGCAATTCGCCTTGGCTCTGTCTGTCAAACTTGGGCTGCCCAAAGCTATAATAGAGTGTAGCCAAGAAAAGTCTCCTGTGGGGAAATAGAATTTGCACAAAGTAACTGTAGCCTTCTTTGTCCCTCTCCCAGTGTACGAAGCTGTGTGGTGGAGGCATGCGGACAAGACTGGTGGTCTGTCAGCGTGCCAACGGTGACCGGTTCCCAGATTTGAGCTGTGAAGTTCTTGACAAGCCTCCAGACCGTGAGCAGTGCAACACACAAGCGTGCCCACAAGATGCTGCATGGAGTACTGGCCCTTGGAGCTCGGTACGGCCCTAATACTTCATGTTTGTTACCCAAACTCTCAGACAGTGTTATGAGTATTCTGGGACATGCCTTCATAGCCAAGAACTGTCACATGCATGAAAGCACCCAGATACTGCGGCCTTTTACTTTCTTCCTAATTATGGCACACAATTAACACTGTATGACACTGCCAAGGTGACTTTATACAATCCAAATACCTCATGCAGGAATGGTGCCAAGAAGTAGCTTCCTTTGCCTAGAAGAGCTGTGTGTATGTACATTGATAATTATTTAGAGAAACAGCTCAAAAGTAACCAATCTCTGCTTTCTAAGCTGTGGTAGCTCTGGCTAATGGAGTAAGGTCCCTGCTTACTGAGGCTGATGCAATTTTTTTCTTCAACTACTATCATTTGCGTCTGTGAGGCTTGGATATACCTTAGCACAATCAACATAAAGTCTATACCCACCAATAGACTAGCCAATATAGATGACCAGCAGTGTAATCAATGTCCCAATACCTCCTGAGGTATCTGGAATCTCTTCCCTATCCCCAGACAGGAAGTCCATCTGAGACCAGCTTTTACTTTGCTCCTAAGTTTTCCTTAGCCGGCAGCTGACATGGCAGGATTGCCGCTGTAAATACTATGCAAACATCTGGGGCAGCTCTTAACAAACAGATGGATTAACCATGTCAACACAATATTTTGGCTAAGCTGTGACAAAAATTATGGAGCCAGTAGGTCTGATGTATTAAAGTACAGTAAATATTCCTATAAGTACATTAATTGCAATGAAACTGAAATTAGTATTATATAAACTCATTTCCAGGAGTCCCTTTTTATTTAGTCTTGTCTTGGAAGGTGTTATTCAATCCTGGGGCCAGGTGAAGAGCAGATTAACTGAAGTAGCATGATTGACATCCAGTGATGCTTCTCAAAGTCAAAGTTTTTGGCATCGGTGGCTGCGTCTGCAGGGTTGGTTCTAGTTTCTCTTTCTGGAACACTCTCTCAGTATATCCCCTATTGATAATTTAATAGCTTAAATCGTTAAATATAAGCTGCTGATTGTTTTAATTGAAAACATGGAGCATACTTAATATTGCTGTTCTTCTTGGGGCTACATACGGTTTTCTAAGCTATCAGAGAAGAAGAAAGGAGAGTAAAAGTTCTGTGCTCTAGCACACACAGATGTGGATTTTAAAGCTAGCTTTACTGCCTGTGTAATCACATCAAGTGCTTGCTAGATTGACTTGCAGGTTTCATTTCTTCTATTGTCTTAAGAGAAAGGGCCACTCTTGCAAGGCTTTTAAACTGCTATTTTTAAAGAACTAAATCAAAAGCATTTTGTTTAAGTAGATAGACAATTGAAATATATCAATTTTAGCCGGGCGGTGGTGGCGCACGCCTTTAATCCCAGCACTCGGGAGGCAGAGGCAGGCGGATCTCTGTGAGTTCGAGGCCAGGCCGGACCAACAGCCTCGAAAACAATACAGAGAAACCCTGTCTCATAAAAACCAAAGAAAAAGAAATATATTAACTTTATGTACATGTGAAAGAGCAATCATTTGGACACGTACTGTAGGATTTTGATTATTTTATGTTTATTTGCATGGATGCTTTGGTATAATGTCTTAGGATGCTACTTTTCAGCATACCTCAGTGACTCCTGTTTCTAGCCATAAAGTCTTTTTTATGGTGCTTTCCCATTGTAACTACAGTGAAGTTAACAAGTGTACAAAAGAGAAAAGTGCATTTGAGGTGCTAACGTCTTGCTTCCAATAGAAAGAAACTTAGACTGACTAGAGGCCAGGGTGGCAATGACTTTTCCAGCAGGTTGCTTTTGCTCCCAGGAACTCCCACACATAGACACTGTCATATCACAAAGCAACTACTGCTATGTAACACAGCCAAGGTCAAGCGGAGACAGCTTACATCAACACGAAGGAGTGCTGTTTGAGAAAGAAACCCCAAATCGTTGTTGTCACAGCTCCCAGAGTCTCCACAATGAAACTTCTTTTAATCTATTATTCAAACAGCCCTTTTAGAGAGAATGTTGGTTCTGGCTCATGTCACTGCAGATCTATGACTCACAATTATAACCCTGAATGCAGTGACTCACACCTGTGACCCCACACTCAGGAGACTGAGTCAGAAGGATCACCTAGAGTTTGGTGCTATAATAAGTTCCAGGTCAGCCAGAGATACAAGTAAGACTGCCTCAAAAAAACAAAACAAAACAAAACAAAACAAAAGAGTCATGATTGAGAAAAATATCCTACAAAATTTTCTTTTCTGGACTTTAAAAAATAATGTCCCTGGACCTTTGCTTTGTCTGTGAAGCAGTGTTCTGCAACTCTGTTGAACTATTGAGCCCGTCCTAAAAGCACAGTGGATAATAAACACCCCTATGTCCCTTGACAAATGGTACAAATTGGAAAGAGAACTCTATTGTCAAGGTGAAGCAAGAAATGCCTTACAAATCAGGAATATTCTAGACTGAGCCAATCCATTAGAGAGTAGTTTGGTGGCGTTTCTCTTTGCATTGCCCTGTATTTCTGTTCACTGATCATCTTGTAGATGGTGGTTCTTCTCTACAGAAAGTGCTTGGTTGAGTGTTTTTATGACAACTCAGAACATATTCTCTGAGCATTTGAGATCTGTGCTTATGGACCTGACTGGTGAGAGATTATGAGCTTGCAAGGGAGCTATGCTTTTGTTTCAGTCTGGCAAACTTAAGTATTTGTGTCTACCTCATTTTCATATCACACTGTACAGTTTCTATAGGTAGAAAGAGGAAATGTTTGACATTAGTGTTTTACAACCTCATTGTATCATAGAAAAAAAGATTATAAATATCACAACCATATTTTCTGAAAATAGTTTTAAGCAGCCACATTTACATATTTCTGAGTATTTTGAAGGGTACAGATTTATATGTCTTTATATAATAAAGCATATTTATTTTTCCATGTTATTTAATTTCACAAGCAATGTTTAAAAACTAGTATGCGTGAGCCGACTATGAAGGCAAATAGTCTATGTGGATTAGAAGTGAATGTATGTTTCTTTTGATTAAAATATGCACATAAATATTTTAATTTTGTAAACTTTATCACTTTCCCCCAGCGCTGAGTAGCCATGTATTAAACTTCATGTCTTTGGCTAGGCTAAAGTGTACATTTTGAAAGGTTACTTTAAAAGAATTCTGAATCAGAGATGATGAGTTCTATAAACAAAAATTTGTGAGGCTTAACATTGTGTTGGATAGCTTTTTCTTTTCTAATAATGTTGTCTTGATTTACTGAGTTTCAACTATAAATCAAAAGCTCTGTTCATTGAGTTTGAAGATAACGGTAAAACATACCCAGAAGACAAATAAAGGCTAGAAGAGAAGATGCTGAAACAAGCCACTTCTGCGTTCACATAGGGATACACCTGGGTCTCTGTCCAGACAACAGCAGAACGCCTGCCTCCACTTGTCACTTCTTTTACTTGCTCACCTTCAGTATGCCTCAGAAAGGACTTATTATTAAAGAAAAATGAATATTATAAAAATGAAGGTGGAAGTTCGAAGACAGCCTTCTCTTTGCAAAAACATATATCCAGGTTCCAACTTCCATTTCATCCCGCTATTTATAGTAGTACTTACACACAAAAAATCCAAAATGGGGAGGGGGGACCCTTTTATGAGTTAGAGGCTTATAAGAATATGACAAAAATAGCATTGCAAAGTAGATGATGATAACCATAGCTAACCTTATTAAGCATGTGTGTGTTGGAGCCAGCCTTTTTGCTATCCCGTGAGAGGACCACTGTTACACCACATTGCGTGTTGCTATAATCTGCCTTAGGGACAAGACCTCTCATGGCATGTGCCAGCTCCATTAATTTTGGGAGACATAAACAGGTTATGTTCAATGAGCTATGAGGCTTTTGTTAAGAGATTTCTAAAATTCAAGTATCATCCACCCTGAACAATGCTAAGCTGATTCTGACATTGCATGTTTGATTCCAACAACAGAAAATTCTAAATTATCAGTACTATTGGCAAATTCCCATAACCAGAAGTCCCAGAAATGTCATGTAAACTGTCTTAAGGTAGGCATTGGCCGAACAACCCTTTCTTTCATGATCAAGATACATTTTTGGATAGAATAGGTCGATCGTGTAAAATTTCAACTTTGAAAAAAATGCAACTAAATATAAAAATTTAAGTGATAATTTTACTAAATAAACACATGTCATAAGTGCATTACTAGCACTTTTAAAAATGAAAGATCCTCACTACCTGGTTTTGTTTTGAGGCAACATCTTGCTAGAGCCTAGGATGGCCTTGAACTTCTGGTCCTCTTGCTCAATCTGAGCAGGATAGTTATTGTTTCGATTTTATTATTGTTATTGTTGTTGTTGTCGTTCAAAAGACCATGACATATGAAATCACATTTTTACTCAGTTCACTATAAATTAAGACTATCTATAAAACACCCCTGTCTGGTGTGTTTAGAGCCATCAGAGTGCTTGTCTGCATTTACCTACTGAAGAGAAAACTCAATAGACTATAGATACTGTTTTTAGGTTTATGGTGAATGCATCTATATCCCCTCTTTTGGCAGCTATTTTATCACATCTTTGGACAGCTGTTTCATTACACCTTTTGACAGCTTGTTCACGGTGGCTTAGCAGATTTCTTATGCATTTAAGAAGTCTGGAGATGGGAGGAGGATGTGCTTCGGGGGAAGCTGTGTCCTCCGCCTGACTCAGGAGTTGTCTGGCCAGTGAGGAGAGGGATGAGAACACTGGAATGTGGAGGGGGAAGCAGGGGTTGCATCCAAGAGTAATTGGCTGGGAGGGGATCCCGGACATTAGCGAAGGCTTTTCCAGAAGCTTTGTCTTGTGGACGAATGTGAAGAAGTAAAGATGTCACCTTGTTCCCTTGGGAATAAAAGCCATCCATTTCCCAGCAAATCTTTTCAGGGTGCCTACTGTGGGTTGGGTCCTGTTACACATATTACAGACAAACAA